CACGTCGGAGAAACGGGGTCCTTGTCTGCTTTCATAGTTTGTTTATTGGATCACGTCAATAAGCCGCCAGGGTTATGGAGTAGTTGTGTCTCATTCTGTAAGATGGAGGCCCTGACCTTAAATGCTTTAGTTCAATCTGATTAAGTCACTTGTTATATCACTAAATTAATCTTTTTTTTTAAAGTTATTTACTCTCTGCAATATCTGACCTCCAAACCTCTGGTCGCTTGTCAAAAAAATTGCTGATCCGGGACGGATCACAGCGTTGGCTAAGTGACTAAAATGCAAATGTAATTACTACCTTAGTCTGCAGATTTCTTCCCCATCAAATCCGGTTTGTGGGAGGAGGAGCAGCCGCAGTGCAGCAGACAAACTGGAGTCAAAACTAATGTTTGTGTTTCCGTCACAAACACCCACACGTTTTCATTTAACCAGCTTTTATTCCACTTTGGATTCTAGAGATGAGGATGAGGAAAAAAAAGTTTAAAGAAGATTTAATTAGAGAAATGAAAACTTTTTTATCGTAAATATGTGAATCATATTCGTTGTTTGTTTTTAGCATGTGCATTTTTTCTGAGGTGCAACCAGGACGTCCATGAAATTTCTTCATGTTTTCATAAAAGACTGAAGACCTTTTATGATCCAGAAACATGTCAAAATCAATGCAGCAAAACCAACAAATATCTTCTCTTTAATTCCACTTATTCTTCTCTCTCCTCAACTACTGGCGCCTACAATACCCACAATGCAACTGCAGGCGGTAGATAGTGAAACTGGTAGAAAATGAGCAGCGGGATACGGAGGTCTGCTTGTTTCACGTCCAGTAATCAGGTAAATTTCATGGTTCCAGATCTACTCCTCTTTCTATTAATGAGGTTCATTACTGTAACATGTTAGTAATAAATGAGGTTTGAACTGTACAAACATCGAGAAGGGTGTCACTTTGGCCTCAAGGTCATCACGAACACATTTATCAATAACGTCGTTCTTTTTCTGCACGTTTCTGTCGGTTTTAGTGAAACAAAAGCACACTGATGTGCAGGTGAAAACCTTTCAAACCTTAAGGGTGTTTGCCACTAAATACAGACTTGTACTCGCTGTAGTAACGGCCGCCGTCAGCTGGGAGCTGCCATCGTTTGGCGCGTTCGCAAATCCGCCGCTCCCGCCAGAGAGCGACGCTCCCGCCAGAGAGCGACGCTCCCGCCAGAGAGCGACGCTCCCGCCAGAGAGCGACGCTCCGGCTGAGGCGCCGTCCAGCTTTTCAATTAGTGTGACGCGCGCGCGCACACGCGCCACAGAGACGCACGCGCTACACACACACACACACACACACACACATACAGGGCAGAGCGATCTGAATAAACTGTCCAAACACGCGCGCCGCTCTGATGACTCACAGCTTGTTTAGTGTCGATGAACACGCCAGGTGTGTTAGTGCGTGTGTGTGTGTGTGTGTGGGTCTGTGTGCGTGTGTGTCAACACACATTGTGAATGAGTGACCACCTCGCTGATTCATCTTCCTCCTCCACTTGCTCTAATTTCCCCTCATCAACGGAGAAAATCCCTTCTGCTGCGACTCCTGAATCATCCGCTCGACGCGTAAAAGCAAACGTTCCAGAAATCCTGCAGGTATCAAAACAGAACCAGAACCAGTTCTGTTTACAAATAGACGTTGTTTTGTGTGATAGCGAATGAAAGAAAGAGACCAAGAGCGCTCAATGAGACCAGAAGAACCTGCAGGTTAAGCATCAACGTATGTGAAGATAGATCGATAGGTAGGTAGGTAGGCAGGTAGGTAGGTAGGTAGGTAGGTAGGTAGGTAGGTAGGTAGGTAGGTAGGTAGGTAGGTAGGTAGGTAGGTAGGTAGGTATGTATAGGTAGGTAGGTAGGTAGGTAGGTAGGTAGGTAGGTAGGTAGGTAGGTAGGTAGGTATGTATAGGTAGGTAGGTAGGTAGGTAGGTAGGTAGGTAGGTATGTATAGGTAGGTAGGTAGGTAGGTAGGTAGGTAGGTAGATAGATAGATAGATAGATAGATAGATAGATAGATAGATAGGTAGGTAGGTAGGTAGGTAGGCAGGCAGACAGGTAGATAGATAGATTGTATATATTGTAATACGATAGAAATATTAAATTAAATAAATTAAATTAAATAAACTAAAACTGAAACAAAAGAATGACCTTGTTTCAGATCACCCTCGTAATGATCGATTGTCCCTCGATTTGAACATCAAAAGGGTTTTTGTGGGACAAAAAGGTCTGTAAAGTGGGTTCATTTCCCGAGCGAGACAGATATATATAAAACCTAAACTACCAAGCGAGAGGGGATGAAAGGCTCCACACAGCCGCAGAGATAATCGTGATTATTCTCTTTAAGTCCAACCCACAGATTTCATGAAAGATGGACGACATGAAGGCTTGTTTGGTCTTAAATAGTTACTTGATGCAACAACAAAACACATGTATGTACAACACACGTATGTTCATGATGATGGTGTGGTTAACTTTTTAGCTAAATAGCTATTCTGGTTTCTAACGTAGCCGCTAAGTGGCTAACAAGCTTGATTCAGGCGGTTTGGTCAAAATCTGACGCTGGCGGCTCCTGTATTCACTGTATTTTGGTTCCACTTTGGAAAGTGAGAGAAGGTGGAGACACTTCAGTCCATCTTCAGTGTAAAATAGTCTGTTGAACACTATGAGAGAGACACCACAGTTTGTCCGGAAACAGACTTTCCATTATATAATGGCCAGATAATCCCAGTTAAAATGTTTTGGGTGTTTGCAAACAAGGGTTGAATTATCTCATGCGGATCCACAGACCGTGTTCTGGCCTTTAGTTTGGACACGTTACTGATCTTTGTCATTTTTACTTGAAGTTTGTGCTCATATCTTTAGAGAAAACAACAATACAGTTGATCATATTTCTGTGGTTAGATATTGCACAGACTCGCACCAAATGAGTAATTCCATTTCCCCCTCTGAACTTTGCTGTGTTCTTTTCCTCCAGCTCAGTTTATTCACTTAAGACGAGAACGACGCGCCGTCCATCAGCCGAAACTGCATCTGGTTCCTCTAACACGATCACGGCTCTGCATCGTGTGCGTTAGAAACACCATGAACGTATTAGTTAACATGATATGGAATATATATATATATATATATGATATGGAAAATACCCAAATGGGGCAACAAAGAGGGGAGTACAGCGCAAAAGATTCATATCTAAAATGTGTGTTCACTTGTAGCTCATACTTTTCTATTTTTATCACAGCTTCATTTAAAAGTTGCGTAACAAGTTGGGTAATTATTTAGTCTTCTGAGGGAGCAGCGTGTATTTCTATGAAGGCCATTAAAACCGTTTGGTATCACACATGAACATGAACTTTTGAGATATTTCCCATGTGAATTAATAGTTGTTTATTCTGCTTCGCCGATAGATGAACTGAAACGAGCAGCTGGTCTGAATGGGAACATCTTGAATATGAATATTTCTTTGTTACATAAATCCACTTACTAGTCATCCGAAGACCTTAAAACCCCCGACAAGTAAATCATTACTAAAAGTAAAAATCTTTAAAAGCTTTTTCTTTGGCAGAACGAAGAGCTGTTTTCTGTATAAAATACAGCTTCTGTCCAACAGAACTGCGTGGGAGGGATAAACCTCCGCCGCGGTTTCTAAGAAACATCTCAACACAAAAGACAGAAAGACCAAAACGTCCATGATGAGTAAGAGAACGTAAAGCGTCGCCCTGAGACAGAATCTAAGGATATTCACAGTTGGAGGGTGAAACTGTCTTGACTTCCACAGATTTCATTCAGAAGAGTTTGTCCCTCTCACGTTTACTAGAAGTCTTCTCAGGGCCCCACAGAGCCGACAAGCATTCACGTTCAGAACCCCCTGAAAAACCACTGGACAACCACGAGCCAAATTCAATCACACTGGAACGTGTCGTTGTCCTGCTCCCCAGAGGATGAACCCGCTGGATTTTAATGACCCAGAGGGCTTTTCAACCATCAGGACGAACTTTACGCGCCCCACAAACAATCCAATCTGTAGCCGATATCCGGAAGCCTCTGACGTGTAAAGATGCAGGCGTGGCAGTCTCACCTGATGATGTCATCGTTGTGTCCCAGGTAAAACCTCTGGCTGTGCTCTCTGGTGTTGTAAACCACGCCGACGCCGGCCACGAAGTACACCACCTCCTTGCCGGCGGTGTAGTACAGGTTATTCCGGCACTGGTGGCCCCGGTACCCGTAGACCCAGTCCAGTCTGAGCCGGCAGCCCGGGGCGCTCCGGTCCGACATCCTCGCTCATCTGACGGGACACCGAATCCGCCGCCGCTGCCGCCGCAGCCGGTTCACTCCTGCTTGTTCCGGTTTGAGATGCTCCGGACCACATCAACACATTTATTATCGATTAACTGATATTTATCGACAGGAAATATTTGTTTTTTCATCTTTGCACAGAGACGTTACACGACGATATTTAGCTTATGCACACATTGTGAGAATCTGATCTGATCGATGCTGGAGGAGTTGGAATAACCGATTTAGTGAATCTGAATTAAACTATTTCATGTGGTGAAACATTGTAACTTAACAGTTTTAATAGTATGTATGTATGTGGTGGTAAATATAGTTCAACGTTGTAAAATAGTATTGTTTGCGATATTTTGGAGTTATATGCAATACGTATTCATTTTCAATCTCAGATGTGATCTTTGTATGTCCACAGCTCTGCAAACTGAAGCAGATTCATTAAATATCTCAGAGAATTCGGAGGCTCAGAGCTCTTTACTTTCAATCAGCCATCATCATCATCTTCATCACGACCATCTTCATCCTCGGGTCTGCTGCTGATTGGTCCTGCAGAGAGATTCTGGTGCGTCTCCTGTCGATTCAGTGCAATTTCCTCTAATATGCCTTAATGGACTTGCAGTGTTTATGACCCTGTAAATGATAAACGACGTACGGTATCTAACAGCTCCGGCTGAATGAGACGAACTTTCTTGTATTAAAACGTAAGTTTTACTGTGATATCGACCAAAGAAGAAGCGCACTCAGCGCCTCGTTCCTCTCAGCCTTGAATATTCTCCGTTTGATGATGATTTCTTTCACTTATAAAAGAATGAAGAGACGTTAATAGAGAAAATATCTATAACTGGTTTGGTAAGTTCTGTCCATTCAACAAAAACAAAAAAACGAAGACAAAAAAACAGCACAACTGGTGGAGGATTGTTCTCCTGGAAAATATAATCCCTGCTCACACTAATCCTTGACCTCGGTACCAGCCACGGTTACTACAGCGCGGTGTTTTTTTACTCCGGTGTCCCCCGTTTGTTCCCAGCATCCCTTCGCGGATTTACGCGCAGCGCGCACGGCGCGGCGGGTCTCTGGAGGAAAACGCGCACGGGCTCACAAACCCATTCACAAATCTGGGCGCGAGTCAAAAAAAAAAAAACCACACTGACACCAGAGTCAGGAGGACGGGGTGTGGATCCTCATAATCTCACAAATTACAAAGGAGGCAGATTATTTCCACCGGGGAATGGCCGGCCCGTTCCGGGGAGAGAAGAGGAGAAGGGAGAGGCTGAAGCGGAGGGCTTGAATCACCGCAGGTGAGCCAACTTCAGCGGGCAGAGACGGGGAGAAGCCCCGGGTTCACACCGCAGCATCCCGGCCGGATGACCGGAGAGGAAAGTCCTGATTCCCGGCAGGAGGAGAGCATCCTCCCGAAGCAGCTGGATCCCTCCACCCGCAGACAGGCAGACAGACAGACAGACAGACAGACAGACAGACAGACGGATGGACTCAGCTGGTCGGTGAACCGGTGGAGACCCTCCCAGACCGCCGAGTCTCATCTCAGTGATATTTTCTCGTTTTCGGACTGACACCCAGAAGCATCAAGTTAACACAGAGCAATTCATTACATCGCGTTTCCGGTCTCCAAAGTTACAAAATAAAAGTTTATATTCGGGGCATCGGGTGCTGCGAGAAAATGGAACGTATGCACATTTTAAGCGTTGCCGTACGACGCTGTTCAGTAAATAACATTCTAGATAAGGAGAAAATGTTAGTGGGAAAGATCCAGAAACTGAGAAGAACTTTTTTTTCTACTTTTTCCCGCACTCACAATCCTTCGGATTATTCTGGCAACTCTCTACAGGGTCCTTCAATCTCTGAACATCTGAACTAAATTGTGTAAACTGTATAAAACGTTGTAACTAGATTTGACCATAAACCGTAAATAAGATGGACCAACAACTCTTTTCAATGTAAGACCTTTGGATTTTACGTTGTTGTTGCAGTGGTACTTTTACTTTGGTAAAGAGTGTTTTCGTTTTCGAACACAGAACGTCGAGAAACGTTTGAACCTACAGTTCAGTATCCAGTAAAGCCGTTAAAATGATGAATGATTTAATTCTGAAGGTTAAATCTGGAAGCTTCCGGTCTTATTGTGGGAATTTGTCACGCACTTGTCGCAGCTCGGATTTGGGAGGCAACCGTGACGCACGGAGAGAAAACACCCGGCTCCGCTGGAGCAGACGCACAGCCGCAAAGAATGCTGGGACATTGTTTTTTTTTAGTCCATAAAGTTCATTATAAGCGAGGATTAAAAACTACAAGTACCAGCAGCGCGGTGGCGCTGTCCGCGGTGCTGAACGGGGGGAACTGTAGGCGACCAAGTGCATTCTAGTTATGTAAAACATTTAATTATAAGTAAACGTGTAACGTTAAAACACAAACAGCGACATAACAATACACAGGGAAAAAATAAAATAGAATACATACAATAAAAAAGGAGGAAAATAAGCTCTTAAATGAGCTTTGTCATCAGAAGTGTGAGCGGGAATCACTCATGTTAAATTAATATGTGCATCTATGGGCCCCCGGTCCCTCTGAGGGGTCTTTTGTTTTCACATGCTGAATAATAAACAGGGATCTGACTCCAACTAATATTTTCAGGAGAAACGCTCGTCTCCCCTTTTCTGACAAGCCAAACAAACAGCAATATAATTTTACTCCCAGTCCAAACTGCGGTTAATATTTTCTATGATGAAAAACATTTGTAGCGGCCTTCTGCTCTGCAACGCTCGTGGCTGAAGAGGGAAATAAATGGTGCAGAAGATGAGATGATTTCCAACAAAGCAGGCCGCCCGTGGGCTGAGTCAGACTCATTTGTTTATAATAACTGTACCCAACAGAGCTGCAAACCACCAAGACTCGCTGAGAGCGCGATAACGGCAACACAATAAGATCCCGTCAGTCTCAACAGAGACTGGACTTTATTAACTACTCCGTGGATATCATCATGTTGGGAGGTGGGTTTTTTTTTTTTTCGTCCTCTCCGTGGCTCTGCTGTAAAATGGGCAGAATTTGAGATTTATTCAAACAGAGTTGATGTTGGTCATCAAAAGGATTATGAAGCTGTAGTTTGTCATTTACTCGTTCAATAGCACCACGTATTTAACGTACAGGCACTACAGACTGAATAAACATAATACTGTAAGGGCCAAACATCAAAGCAAAAGGTGAATGTATTCAAAACTAAACAGAATGAGTTATGTAATTCATGTCATTAAAAAAAAATCCAAGTAAAGTTGAAGTCATTTGCATAATTTCTAAATAAAAAGTAGCCACAGCACGTGGGGGAAGCATTGACTGAATGGTTAGAAGCTGCACATGCAGTGTGGTGTGCTGGTTACTCAAAGTGGACCTCAGCTGAGATCCTCTGGTCCTGTTGCGCCATCTTGAGGCCAAACCTCAAAAACAGATCAAAAAGTTTAAATTTAAGGGTCCACTTGCAAACAAAACCTGTGATCATTGTTTCAGAGGAAATTTGTGGTTTGCTGATGAAGAGTCCTCCTCGTCAGCTCGTTTGCATTGGATGAGCTGAGCTGCTGCCTGGAGTCACAGGTGACCCCCCCCCCCCCCCCATGGGAGTCTACGGGAAACGGTTATGACCTCATGGTACCAGGTGACCCCGCCATACGTTCAATTTGCTACCAGCCAGTTTAAGGAATAAAATAAATCCAATCTGTGCCGAGAGACTTTAACCAATCACATGAGAGAGCGTTCCTATTGGCCACTACAGGCAGAACCGCCTCCCTTCTGACGGTTGGTGTTACGTCATTAATTAAAGTTGCATTTCAGTTTTACAGTAAAATCCACAAATTTTAGATATTTATCCATTTAAGTTTTAATAAGTATACAATGGTTACCCAAGCGATTGAATTAATTTAATTTGTATAGATACATCATAATCACAACAGGCAACATTTTATCGTTGTTTGCTCAGATTTATTTTCCTGCTGGAGATGGGCTTCTATTGAAGGCCTAAGCCAGGTGGGGCTAACTGGAGCTAACTGGGGCTAGCCACGTTGATGGACAGATGAGGAGGCGGGTCTTTCTTCGGCTAGAAGCTTTATTGATAATTGTTTACATCTCACAATGCATTCCACAAACACGGCTCCCAGCTGGGAGCTTATCGTCACAATTGAAGTATGAAGTTTATCATTCACAATTATACTTGCATAACAAAGAAATGCTCGAAGGTTTCCCAAAGTCACATCAAGTTGCAACTTTATTAAGATATTTGTTCCACAGACAGTATGATTTTTTTTTTGTTTTTAAACCCCATTTCATTTTTTTTTCTTCACTTTTTAAATATTTAAACTGATGTGGATGAATGTAAACGTGTTAATCCGGAGATTTCTCATTACTAGACAGCTGCAAATGACATGGAATTAACGACCGATGAAATTAATGTGTTGTACTCGTCTGGCAAAAGTTTTTCTATCTAAGAGTTACTCAGAAGCGATGACGTTTTTAAATGGTAGCGACCCCCCCCAAGACGTTCACATCGAGGCAAAACCACGCAGCAGGTCGCAGAGGAAACGAGCGCCAAGCTTTATGGACACCACGGTGTTTCTGTTAAAACAGCTAAATCACAAAATACTTCTAACGCGTTAATCATAGCAAAAACAAAAAAAAGACAACGAAAATACAAATGAGTTGCCGCTTATTTCTTGATCAACAGCAGACGAAGGGAAACAAAAAAATATCTCTCCAAACCTTCGAAATGATGGAAGTAAAACATCCAACCACGACGGCGGTCTGATTTCCCACAATGCACCGAGGAGAGGGAAGGCTAACGCAAGATTAAAAACGCAAGTCTGTAAGTTTAAGCAACTCACAGAAGTACATTTAACACTGGACCTGAAATAAAAGGCGAGTCACGGAGCCGATTTCCAGCTGATCTCAGACCTGCTTCAACTTGTCCAGGAAACACAAATAAAAAGAAAATCTGAGCTGGAAAAAAAGTGTTTTATTATTTTGACAAATAAAGTTAGAAGAGCTGCATCCACGCCAGACCCCTCCTTCCTCCTTCCTTCATATCTGGCCCACCCCCACCCTCCCACCTCCACCCCCCAGCTTCTCCTCCAACCATCCTTCCACTCAGGTTCTCCTGAATCCAAACTCCCACTTGTCGTTACTTCACTCGGCTTTGCGTTTCATCCCGGGGACCTTCGCCTGGACCCTGTAGGACAAATAGATGGAAATGTGTTGGTGTTCATTTATACTGGCTTCGTTCAATATGGATGTAAATGTTCAATGACTCCCTGAAGTCAAATAAAGCCTGGAGATCAATAATACGTTAATACAAACTACTGTTTAACTATTACAACAGTCCTTTGTTTGTTCTGAAGAGTTCGGAAACACGACTCACTTTCCAACAATGTCTTTGACCTGGTTGTTGACCAGAGCCACGTAGTGGTCGATCTGAGTCTGCAGACACACAAACAAGAGTCGGGATCACATTGAAGTCATTTAGAATCAGATTCAAGAAAAGGTACACAAGTATTATCGACTACAGTCACAGGAATGCACCAATGCTCGAACAAAAAACGTTTAAATGACATCATGCGACAGATTAAAAGTAACATATATAAGCATTTTTATAGAAAAGCTAGTTTTTTTTAAAGAAAACACTGAGACTCTAGACTGGTTCTGATCCATTTCAATCGGTGGGAAAGGCTTACCTGGTGTTTCTCATAGACGATCGGGCAGCTGAACACTCCGATCAGAACTGAAGAAGAAAATTGGATTTAAAAACAAACTTCGACAGACAGCGAATCTCTCGTTTATCGAACACAAGAGGACGGGATGTGAATCAGTGGAATTGTTGGTTTGACCTGCAGGAGGAGCCAAAGTAGGACTTGTTTTTAAGACTACGTGTAAAGAGGCACGTTGACATGTGACTTGTTCCTCACCCAGGATAAGAATAGTGAGCCCGTTGAACAAGGAGCCGACGTAAGTCAGGACCCACATCAAGCCTGCAAACTGCACAGAGGAAAAGATCAAATTAAAATCAGTCATTAAAACAGAAAAACTCCTCATAATACAACATTTTATACTGCAAAGCATTCAAATCAGCAGTGAGGAGTGTGTCAAAGTACATTCTGCTGTAATGTTTTTCAGGTCCCTCAATTATTTTGATTAAAATTTTACTTTCTACCACATATATTTTGCAGCAGTACTTGATACAAACTGATTATTGATATCACATAAAACATCTATATAAATTAAACTACTATTAAAAAGAATTCCGCAAGAGTGCTTTTTATTTTTAGGGGAAATAAATATGTTGATGCCAAAGGTTTTACTAATAGTTCTGCAGGACTTTAACTTGTATCCCAGTATTTCTACTCCGTAGTTCTTCCACTGCAGCTCCTTCCTCCAACAGCGATGACTTAATGCCAAACCGCTATGAATCAATACTGTTTAGAGTGTAACCTCTCAGGAATCAATTAGGTTATTCTAATAAATCACATATCTATATATTCAATTGGCCTTTAAATAAAAGACTCGATTAAAACCATCCGTCTGAGACGACTTGTCTGTTTTTTATTAAAGAGCCCAAAACATTGAACGCTGAACACAAATGTCTCAGTGGCCTTGTTGTTTTCATTTATGGACTCAGCATTTGATTGAAATAATCCGTCGTGCCACATTTTAAATGCTGGGAATGACGACAGTTTTGCTTGATCAATAGTTTTAAAACAATAAATCAATGATCAAAACTTGTTGGCAGAGGAGAAATCAATGACTCAAATGGTCAAAGATACGTCATCTTGTTCAAAGATCCTTACGAGTATATAGTTACACCGTATAAAAAAAAGACATTGTGATAAATGTAATTATCAATCAACCAAAAAGGGATGTTTTTTTTAAATCAATGACACCTCGATCTCACTCACTGCTTGGATATTTGTTTCTGAGGGTTAAAACAGGATCAGGATGCAGAAACTGAATTCAAACCCTGACGCTGTGTAAACATAAATGCTTCCAGTGCTGAAATGTAACGCGACAGTTTATCAGCACGTGTTAATGAGCATGGAAACGTTTCGGCGCCTTGAGACCCAACACGGCTGCCAGCGCGACGACCTGACGCGGTTAAAGCAGTTAGAGTTGCTTGTGAGGGAAGATCGTGACATTTCAAACACCTGCTGGCAACAGAAAACGAATCAGAAGAAAAAACAAAGAATCTTCCATGATGCATCCACACCGACTACAATCTGCTCAGACATTTAAAAACAACCCTGAGGCTCAAACCTCGTCCTGACGGGATTAAAGGAATCAGACTGGTCTTTTATACCCTTTAAGGGAAGCGTTTCTCTCAGATCTGTATTTGGACTGCAGGTCGGGGGGAGCGGCGAGGTGACGACAGGCCTTCTGACAGCTGCAGAGCTCTGAAAGCTCATCAGTTACCAACGCGGAGCTACAGGCTGCAGGGCGACAGACTAACATGGATGAGCATTCAGAGGACAGAAGGGCCTAAAACATGTCAATTAAAGCCAACACGCAGCGGACGAGAAGCCGGGGACAAAGCTGAACGCTACCAAGACCGAACAAACAAAGTCTGCCCAAGGAAGGAATGATCTTAGCTTAAATGAGAAACCACATTTAGACAAACTACCGTTACTGCACATCAAACTGTATGCTGCTGCTGCAGAGCTTCATTCTTAAGAACCCGTATGTCAGTCAATTTGATTATGCGTCTTCCTCCTGCCCGTTTCTAACTCCACTTTGTTCCCCTCACCTTGATAGAGTCGATCAGGTCCTCCACCAGGAACAGGCGCCTCAATTCACAGACGGTCTTGTTGAGTTTGGCCAGAGCCAAGTCGCTGTACTTGTGGACCACGTCCTCGGGCAGCGCCACCTCCTGGTCCAGGTACTGCCTGAGGGGAGCAGGTTAAAGACAAGAGTCGAGACGATGAGGCTTTATGCAGCTCCCCTTCCTCTCACTGAGGCTTAAACCACGTAGACCGTAAAGAAACCATTTAGTCATGTGACCCCCCCACCCTCCTGAGATCATGTTAGTCCGAGATAAGGAGGAAAGGACCAAAACGCCAAGACGTAGAACCGGCAGGACCCCGATAGATTAGTCACCGCGCTTGAACATTTCTGTGCGTTTCATGTGATGTAGTTGCATGATGTGAGAAATATAAGAACAAAGCTAGTTTTTTAAAACCATTAGAATACCAGATAAGGGGCATGTGATCTGGGCCAGACACGCATCATAACCTCAGCTGACAGAGCGGCGTGCCTGCAGCCCTCACTGATGATCGGGATTAATCAGGTCATTGATTTCTGTGACGAGAGGGGCCGACTGACACTGGACTTTTGTCCTGTATTTCTAAATGGTCTTTTATACTCATTTAATTTGTTACGTTACATGTCTGAAAATCTTTAAATCTCCATCTTTAAAATGTGCATCATTAATACCATCATTCTGCATCGTTATGATGCGCTCGCTTCCAATATTTGCTGCTCTGCGGTCAACATCGTTTGTCTATGATAAACGTGCGTGTTTGCTGAAGCGTATAGTGCGATAATAGTAGGACCTGATATCTCATCGTATTATCAGTAACATCAGCTCATGTGAACCACTGAGTCGACTGCAGTGGTTCCAGAGGAAAGACAAACTGAGTCAGATTGCATTGATGTGGTTCAATAAACGATTTGCTGGACCAGGAAACAAAAATCCGACATTAAACAGTCATGCATCACTTTGGGGGGGGGATTGACAAAAAGGTTCGAAATAGTGTGATATTACTCTTTTTGTGACAAAAACTCATAGAAACAGTAAGTGTCCGAGTTATAGCGCTTCTATCACAGTAAACATTTAAAGAAGAACATGAATACAACACACATTTCTGACCTCCGTGACCGTTGAACAACACCGTCCCGCCCTACTCACTTGAATGGGTGCCCCTCGTCGGACTTCTGGATGGCCTGCAGGATGCCTTTGTATATCCTGAAGCAGATGGTGACCGAGAGGAGAGCGAGGCCGACGTAGGAGCAGACGCTCACGATGCTGCACACCGTCAGGGAGAGGAGCAGCAGCAGGGCGGCGCCGAACACCACGCCGGTTTTCTTCACATCACGCCAGTAGAGGAGATCAACAACTGCAGGAGGAAGAGGAGCGAAGGTTAGCGACAAGCATCCAGAGAGAAGTGACAACGTATACCCTCGAAAGAGGCCTGGAGGGAGCGGCCAAAGCACCACTTGATTTATTTTGGTATTATAATTGGAATCTTATTATATTTTTCTACTGTGCTGCGATTACAGGTTTAAAACGCTTACAATATGGAAATCTCTTCCCTTTATGTAAATCATTTCAAAGAATAAAATGGCTCTTTGTTGACATGCCCAATAACTAACCAATGGCGTGAATTCCTTAAAATATGCATGTCAAAAGTTGTTTTCAACCAAATCATTCAATTTCCCTCCTCGGTCACATACGCATGTTGAGGTCACAAATCAAGACGTCGTGGGACGCGACTGAAGCACCGCGTGTGAGATCGGTTCTGGTTCCACACCAAACGTAAGACTTGTAGAAGGTCTCAGCGTTTAGATTAAAGGGCCTCGGAAGGAAGTCAAAACACATCTTGATCAGCGAACTGTCACGTGGTCTTTTAGGTCTGAGTCCCTTGCAGCAGCTCGGGCAGGAGGTCAGAGGTCAAACCTTCCCATTTTTTTACTTCCAATTGATGCATCAGCTCCGACGGACCCTTTGGAGGTCGTCCGCTCGGACAAGCGTCAAATTATCGGGCTGTCCAGAACTCAAAATCATTTCACTTAGTTCCGATTTCTGTGGATAAACATGTGCCACGTTTACAATGACGAAAAATAGCTGCTGACAAAGGAGAGCTGGGAATAACCAACGATGTTTAAAAAGCTGCAAATGTGATTCAACATTGTGAAGTTTGTTTTCCTGCCGAACGACATAATTCGCGTTGGGGGCATGAAGACCATTTTAAGTGTCTAACAGCCTTCAGCGGAGCAAAATGAGAATTGATCAGAGATTACGGATCCGCAGCAGAGGAAATGGACGCCTTCTCTACAGAACAGCAGCCTTGAGGCCGTTGGCAATTTTCCACCCTGCTTCACAATAAAAAAGGAGGCCGGCGGTGAGGGCGAGGTTCACAGACCCTGCATTAAAACCCATGTGATGTGCACGACAGCACAACGTTGGCTAAAAAATAAAATAAAAATAAAAAGATAGCAAAGAAAGATTGCTATCAAAATGTAGTTCCATGGATGATTCTCAGTCACCAGTAAAGCTCATCTGTCACATAACATCACACGTCTGACTGACGTAATGGAGATTTTGTGAGATTCTATAAGGGGGCCGAGGGGCATGTGAGTCTAGGAACTAGTGAGCGTTTTATAGTTAAATGCTTCAAGCTGCTGCACGTTAAACATAATTACGAGGGTAGAGCTTCGTGCAGTGGTGGAATGTATCCAAGCACATTTACTCGAGTACTGCAGTTCAACATGGACGTACTTGACTATTCAGGCGTTCATCAACTTGAATTTGAAATGTTAACAAATGTAAAGGGGCCGTCTTTGTGACCGATGAGCACTGCAGGGAGCGCGTTGTCTCTCTCGGGACGCAGGTAGACGGGTGGTGGAGATCGAACCGCCCCGGGAGACAGCTGAGCTCATGACCTGGGTCCCGCACGGAGCACGCTTATGTTTCACCAGGGAATTCCAGGCAGGTCAGGGGACAATTTTAGCATTGAAGGAGTCCTGGGTTTCCTGCAGGCTCTGACGTCGCACACTGCCGACACATGCTGTACTTTGTGACTTTGAATGACGAGGTCAGAATGCATGCTGGATTCTGGCGGTTCAACGTTTCTGCCTGGTGTTCACTACAAACCAAATCAAACAGCTAAATTAAAAAAAAAAGGTCTTAAATAATCTGAAGGTCGAGCCTGCACACGATTAGCAAAGCAGCGTTAAAATGCAAACCGAGGCGGCAGGTGAGTCGATGGCGACAGGTGCTCAGCACCGCGGGCCGACTCACCGGACACAATCTGTTCGGCAGCTGGCCAAAATATTCAAAAGCCAAAATATTGGCTGAAGGGACAGAAAATGTGTTACTAAGTGGACAAAAATAACCAGCTGCAGGACACAATGAATACTCATTTCTAAATGAACTAATCTAGTATTATTTGAGTCATTCTCACAGAATAGTGATTTTCAGTTAAGCACATTTGAAAAGAGAACCAATGTGATTTGTAAGCTCACCCCTCGGTCTTTCTGCAGTGTAACCTAATACATGAGAACCAAGAGTCCGAAACAAAAAGGTAGAAAACAATACAGAGAAAAACCAACACGTGTGAGGGTTCTGTTCGGTGCCAGAGCGGAAATGACCGGTTGATTTGTCGAAATCTAAGCGAGCAAAGTGACAAACATTTGCTATTCTTTTGTTATACACGACAGCGAGTTGAGCATCGGACTAAACGAGGCATTTGAAGGCGTCGCCTTACAGTCTGCGGAATTTAAGAGCATCGTTAACACTTTCTTTGGAAAGTCAAATGTAGGAGAAAAAGTCAGCGGATTGAATTGATAATGAAAATGATTGTCCGTTGCTCCTCTGCTTCAATAGTACATTAAGTCTAACCACGTGATTAATATTAGTTTCTTTAAACACTGACGAAATAATTCCCATCAGTTGGCTGGTAAACATTCTGCACATTCTCCTCCAGTTAGAAACGTACACGTTTTTAAATGTAAAAATGCTGCTGCAGTTGCTTCGGAACGACGAGCACACAGCTGGTGCGGTCCCCCGACTCCAGAACAGATCGGAGCGGGTTCCTGTAAAGAGACGACGCCTCTCAAACAACGCAGTGTCACACAGTTGTTCAGACGCCACAATCATTACAAACAGAGGCTTCGATTTCTGGAAGCTTCCTGCACATTTAGCAAAACGGGGTGTCGATGTGGGCGTTGACAGCTAGCTAGCTAGCTAGCACGCTAGCACGCTAGCTGGCCGAATGTTAGCCCTGTTAGCTGCGCAGCTGTGGTCGGTAGCTTTGAAAGATAGACGCTGTCTGGATGCGAAGGCAAGGACGGGGAAGAATGGGGGGGAGATGGGTGAGGAGGGAGGGGGGGTCCGCTGTCCAAATGTGGCAGCCTGGCTACATATGGTAGCAGGCGTGCTAGCACCTCCGGAGCCTCGCTAAAAATAGACCCCGCATCACAGCTAGCCAAAGCCCGGCCGCTGATCTCGTGTTTAATCGCCGGGCCTCTGATGCACCGCCGACCCGACGCGTTTCATGTTCCTGCCCGCGGTGTCGTTCCGTCGATCCGGCGGCCCCGGCGCCGGGCACCCCGGTCCTCGGCGGGGAGTGGGCTCCCAAAACGTCAAACCGTCCTGGGTGACCTCCGCGGAGACGGCCCGATCCGCCCCCCAGTCCCGTCCGGGGGCCGAGGCAGCCCGGCGCTCGTGCAAATGCTGAAACCGCCGACGCAAAACGCGGCACGTAAACGAGGAGACCGGGTCGGTAAACGGAAGATTATGACCACACTGACCCTGTTTGGCGTCCATCTTGAACCTCGGTTAAGCGCGCAGCGACACGGCGACTCCGCCTGGCTGAGAGGTGAGACCGAGGCGAGGGACGGAGAGGAAGAGGGGGAGAGGGGGGCGGTGGACATGCGCACACCGGCCCACGTCGCGTGGCAACTCATTACGACAGAACGAGGGTTTGTTTTTCAGCGGTTAATTTTTTTTTTTTATACCAAGTTCGATAAATCAAGAGGGGGAGAATTTAAATGAGGACAATTCTCTGATCCCCATTTGAAGTGAAAAGACCCCCCCAAAAAAAACAATCACGTCTCAATTTAACGGTTTTCTTTTGTATTTTAGTCAATGCACAGAAAAAGGTCACCTTTGTCTACAGGCATGGGTTTAATTCAGCATAAACAGCTATTTCAATATCAAATAATTTGTGAATAAGTTACGTTTTAATACGATTTAATGGCGCAAAGCAGCTGCCCGTTAAAGAGAAACAGCTGACAAAAAAAAAAAAATAGAGTCTGAAGTCCAAGTAAACTATTAAGCAAACGGATATAAAGCTTTTAATAAAATCAAACGCCTCTTTGAAATATCCGTATCTACTAGGGCAGTACAGCAAATAACAAATGTTTTGAACTGTCATTAATACACATTTTAGGTTACTGTATTGCATTTAAAAAGGTAAAACCTAAAATAACTGATGTTTGCTGTTCTAATACACACCAGAAGAGAATGTGATGGTGTCACAGCATGACGGTCAAAGGTCAATCGTGTCAGACGGAGGCATGTTAAAGGCCGTCTGTTATCATGAAGAAACCAGGGTTGTGACAGCGGATGGAGGAGGCGTGCTGTGCTGTAAAACCTGGCTGTAAAAGGACAATCGGTCTCGGGAATGCCAAGCAGAATAAAGTTAGGAATTCAGACCCGACCCACTGGAAGGAAAGAAAGGGATCCTGTGCATCAGTTAAAGATCCATGTAAGGAACTGCCAGCTATCCAGCAACACCAGGCTGGTAGAGCCACCGGCTCTAGATTATAAGACCTTATAATAGTCTCTTTTTTGGTTCAAACATCAATAATATCATATGACAAGCATGTACCAGGGCTCAGAGAAGATTATATTGTGCGCGTCGGTCCAAAGTTTTGTATGTTTGCGGTATGAGGAGCAGAGACCGCAATTTGACTGTCAGTCTGCAGTATCCAAAGGAGAGGTTCAATTGATTCAAATACCTGTGAAACACAAACAGTCTCACCTGCAGGTCAACGCTTTAAATATCTCAACACAAAGCTATCTGCATGCGATCGGTTACTCAAACACACCGTTAAGTGATATGTGTGTGTGTGTGTGTGTGCCTACGTCGCTGTGTTAGATGTGACATCATCTACATATATTGCCTAGGAGCGTCCGCTTTTTAGAATATAATTAAGAAGATCAGTTAAAGCAGATAATCAAACAATTTAAAAGCTGGTTACAATTTAGCTCAAACTGCTGCTGCTGTAATATTTAAGGATTGCCAGGTTGGGAAAGTTGAAGGTTTACAAGCAACTACAAGTTTGAGGTTTTACTCGTGCAACTTAAAAAAGAAAAGAAAAAAAAGAGTTTCACTGCGGTGACACAAACCCTCTGGAGAGAAACACAGCAGCCTCTTTCAGCAGAGCGGCCGACACTTTGTGGCCTCGGCCGTCACCGGCTCAACGAACTGAGACGAGCTGACGCTGTTATTTAGCGCAGTGATGACACACAAACACACACAAACACACAGCACAAAGGCTTCAGTGTAGCGCTGTGGAGCGACAGCAGCACTGAGATGACAACACGCCGATCACTTTGCATTTCATGGTGAACTACATAGTGAGAAAGCAGACATGACTTTTTTGTTAGATGTAAAAAGGGCGTCACTGCCATCTCGCATCAGAGTGTGAGAAGCAAATTCCTGATTCACAGGACAACAGACACAACTTCATCAAAAGGAGGCCCGAGGAACTGCTGCATCCTCCGAATAATGGAATGAGCTGCTCTAATAATCCCAAAAGGGTGCGATATTAATAAAGGAAAACTACACCCATAAAACGGGACCTGGTTTAGCACAGATGAATGAGTTAGGTGAGCAGACGCCTGACTAAATAAGACTCGGATTCTATTTCCAAAGTTGTGAGAAGGTTTGTAAAAAGGTTTGTGGAAAAAGGGTGTTTAGATTTAGTTTAGCTATTAAAACCTTTTCTTCATTCGTCTCACCAGGGAGGCAGCACAGAGATAGTAACTAAATAAATACCTCTACAAATTAAGATTAATTAAGAGACTGACTGTATAACCGTCAATTCAAATCAGACCGGACCAACTCAGTTACATTAACCTCTAACAACTCATTTACTGAAGACAAATAGAGAAGTACTTTGTTTTACCGATTATTTGTAAAATGTCAGAAAAAGAGTTTAGATTTCTTGTTTAACCCCAAAATATACGTTTTACATAAAGTCTGACGAGAAGAAGCCAAGAAACCTTCTCATTTCAGAAGCCGTAAGCAAGAAGGGACATTTCCCAAGCAGTTGCTGAATAACCTTTGACTGATGACAGAAATACAGAAAGTCAATGATTAGAACTATAAAACATAAAACATTTCGGTTCTGCAAACGTGCAGTTGGTGCAGAAAGCTGCCAAACTACTGAAAAGCTGAGGCCCGACTCTCCTCCAGCTCATTAGCAAATCAGACCGGTCAACCATTAAACTGCAACCTAACGTGACTGCTCACAAACCCCCCCCTCTTCTTCCCTTCTGCCCACCTTTGGTCACAATGGTGGACTGTCCAAAGGTCCCCTCTGTAGCTGCTGCAATCATGTTATCTGTGACAACGTCAGAGAACTCACCATTAGGATACAAATCACCCACAAATCTGACGGTAGAAGCAGGACATTTGTGAAGCTCATTGGATAAATGGTCCAATATTCATTAAACTATTCAAACCTATGATGCCCCCAGAAAAATCAAAGAAATAGCCTCTAGTCCAGAATTCCTCCTGACACTTTAAATGTTCTTTTCTCTCGTGGTTTCCAAAGCTGAGCCTGCAATGTTGTAATCGATGACCCCCCCGTGGGACAGGCAGGGTGGAGGAGCTCCAGCTAAATGTGCTGCAACGTCTGACTGCGATCGATTGCCAAATCAGAGTTGGTCTCCGTTTTTGGAACCAATGTCAAATATATAAGTCCTTCGGTCAGCTAAAAACAAGATATTAGGCATCCACCCGCCCCCTTAAATGCCCCGCAGCAGGGAACACGCTGAGTGGTGGAGGTGTCATCGTCCGGCTCCAAACAAGCACAGAAACTGTCCATCGACACAACGGCAGAAAGGTGGAGGCATATATACCCTGCTCTTTCCATTGCGTTGCTGCAGGCTCGCTCTCCTTTTTGTCCACACAGTTGTTCTCCATGCCGTCCGATCAGCAAACACACACTCCAGTCTGAGTTGCGAGAGGCACTAGATGTGTGTGTGTGTGTGTGTGTCTGGCTGCAGGAGGAAGAGGAGGGAGCCAGGCTTCCTTTGGGGAAATGACTGCAGCGAGCGAATGAACTCTCTCCTGTCAGCTGACTGTCTGCTGCCAGCGCTCTGACGCAGCAACTATAAACGTCTCTGCCTCCCCCCCTCGTCCTTCCCTCCCTCCCTCTCTCTCCGATCAGCCTCTTTGGCAGCACGCTCTCCCTTCCCTCCTTATCCACCCTGGTACAATCTGATCTTACCTTTCCCCTTCCTATATTCAACCCCCCCCCCCCCCCCTTCTCGGCATGGGTTATCCCACTACATCTCTCCTCCTCCGCCTGTGGCAGGGATGAGACAGCTGATAAATGAAACACGTCCCTCTATGTGAAAAATGTTCCGTTGTATTTACTGGACCAGTAAACCTGATTTTTGTCCTTATCTGTGATCCGGCCGGGAAGCCAAGTAAAGAGAAAGATAATTAAATAATGGACATACGGTTTGAGGACAGGGAGGAAAATCTGATCATCTGGAGAGAATCTGGTCCGCGAGGAGGAGCGAGGTCCACGGAATCATGCGAGCTGTAGTCGCTGACGTCTCCCAGCAGAGGGAGCTGGTCTCCTTTCACAAACCACTCTGCCCTCCTTACGGTCAAGAGGGCCGTACTTAAAACTCCGACCTATAGATGTGTTTAATAAGTCAAGATTCATGGATTATCTGGCTTCAGTTGAGAGAAAAGTCCTTTTTTTTAATTTTACACTCAATAGGACTTAATTTTCCAAGAGGACCAGTCTAAATAGAAGATGAAGAAATCAAAAACCCAAGAACAAGTTTGAGATCTAAGCTCAGCTCTGTAGCATTGCATTTTGATTTATGTACAGAGGAATGACAGGTCGATGAATTTGTCCCCTGATGAGTGAGACTATTCATGCCCAGGACAGCGTGTCCCACCGACTGGCTCTTAACACCGCGGCAGCCTACAGTTCATAAGGGTTGAAGAACTTTGCTCTGCACTGCCTCGCTGATGAGGAGGGTTGAAGCCCTCGGTTACAAAGATTATTGATCAATCTCATGTTTTTTCCTCCAGAAATGTGCAGAATTTTCAAAGTAGAAGCTGTGGAACTTGTGGGTGAAATATTCAAAACCTTAAAATGCAGGCAAAAGTTTGATTATTTAAATGCTAATTTGCCAAATATTGCACCGCCCTAAATCAGTAGAACCGGTTCACCTCAAATGTCGGATTTACAATCAAATGAGACGTTACCGTGTAAATATTTTACTAACATTTACATGCTTGGAGGTTTAACCCATTTAACATATTTTCAAATAAATAGACTTAATCTACGCAATGTAATTATTGGTCATTCTAAGTACATTTGGCCTGATTCTTCTCTGCTAAACACCCCCCAGGCCTCCCAGACGATAACTTTTTGTAAAGTTTGATCAAATTAAATGTCTGCATCAGTAGATGTATCCGTGTATCCAAACCCAATTCCCCTTAAAGGAGAAAAGTCAACTGATGAAGCGAGCTGCTGCATAAAAAAGGGACATTTCTGTTCTGAAGAACTTTTGCAGAGTGGTTTCTGGGTCGGAGAAGCCTTTGTGGGCCTGCCAGTGTCGCAATGCAGGGAGGAGGAGGAGGAGGAGGAGGCTTTAATTAACAGGAGATCCCTCCAAAACATGCGGATAAAGCTCTGCCAGCTCGTCCTAAAGAGCAGCGTCTTACTGCTCCAGTTACAGTCTGCAACACCGCGGATGGCATAAACACACACGAGTGTGTATTAAAAGGATCAATACCAGTTGGAATAAAACAGAGTCATCCATTAAAATGAAGACTAAGCATGTTCTTTTCAGGAGAGTTCAGAGGAGACAGCAGAGCCCCGGGGGGACATCCATCATTCCCTAAAAGCCCCGAAGAAGGCAGCGCTGCATCTGCATTTTTTGCATGTGGGTTGATGAACGGGATCCAACAGACTTTTCTAATGTGTCTACTTGTACGTTCAAATGTACCAAATCTGTCAAATAATCTGCCTAGAGTGGAATGGAATGTTCAACACACTTAAATCATTACAGCCTACGGTATTGGTTGATCATTGATATCCAGCCTGTGGTAACAATAAAACCTGACTCGATTGGGTGGGTGCGGACAGACTAACGGGCGTGGTTGGTAGTTAGTGGGTGTGCTTGTGAGTGGGTGTCTTCAAGGTGTGGTTGGGTTTTAGATTGGTTTTAGTATCTTTCTGCTCTGGAATTAACTAGACAAAATTTGAAAGATGGAGAGAAAGAAGGTTTGACTGCCACCATTCCTAATAATTCATTGAATTGGCTAATAATGCATAAAATATGTTGTACTTTTTTTCAGAGCAGGTTTTTCAAATGGAAATAAAATTGAAAAGGTGGCCCATTTTACTTACTTCTTTAAATAAAAATAAAAAAACTTTGAGATAAACAAACAAAATGCAGCAAACAACCACAATGGAAAACACAATCACACAAATTAAACCGGATTTTACAAACAATGCAAGGGTTAATAATCAAAAGGAGATGCAGGGATGATGCAAGAAAGCAATGGAGACACTAACGAGAGAGAGGAGAGACTTGAGGTAAATACTGGCAGCTGGTTGTGGGTCTGGGAGAAAATAACAGAACAAAAGAGGGAAGATGGAAAAGATGCCGATGAACAAGGAAGTGCCACTGAAAACTGGGTTGGATGTGGTGGAGGGATGGAGGGATGGTTTCCATGCTGGGACGTTTAAATTTTTTTTTTTTACCTGCTCTTATGTTCACGTTTGGCATCTTAAACACTTTGCCGCCCTCGGCAGTCTTCCCGGCGACCGCCTCATCCGGCTTGCGGGCAGGGGAGTGGATGAGGGGTGCTTGGGAGGGGGGCTGCTGAACGTCGAGCTTCTCCAGCTCGGCCTTGCTCTTCTGGGGGGAAGTTTGGGTGAGGAGGCGGTATGAGCTCTGACTTGGGGCCTCCGCTTCGACCTTGGGGGGTGGAGCTACTTCTGCAGCGAAAGACGCTGAAAATGGAGGCACATCTTTCTGCCCGAAGCTCAGGTCATCATCCATGGGGATCTCTGGGGGCTTGGAGGAGGCAAACTTGGATGTATCCAGAGCCTCGAGAAACTCGTCGATAACGCCCCGAGGGGGGCGCTCGATGAACTCAAACTCCTCTGAGGAGATTTCATGCTCAGAGACCTCTTCAGCCATCTCTGGCTCCTCCAGCTCCATCTTTGGGTCCATCTTCTCCGTTTCCACCTGGAAGCTGGCAGGGTTCTTGGCCATAGCCTCCAGGACTGGAGACAGCGAGTCTGCTGTTGGCGACTCAGAATCCGAATCCTCAGCAGGGGTCTTTTTGCTCTGGAAGTCAAGCGGCTCAAACTGTTCCTTCACTTTCTGGGTGTCGTGGCTAGAAAACCAATCTTTCTGCTCGATCTTGACTGGTAGCTCTTCCTTGATCTCAGAGGGGGTGGTTTCCGCCGCCCCTTTGACAAGATCGAACGCGCCAAAGCTCTGGTCGTCTTCAACTTTGACTTTGTCGGGCCCTTTCACTTCCAACTGCTCGGTCATCTCCTTCAACAGGGACACTTTAGCGTCAAAGGCAAACGGGTTGTTAGCGGACAGATTGATCGGAGGATTGGGCGACTCCATCATCCTCCGTTCAAGGATGGGACTCTGCTCAGGACTTCCCTCCGAGGACCCGGAGTCCAATTTGTCGGGGTTGAGCGGAGAAGACTTCAGGATGTCAGGAAGCGACGTTGGCACAGCCAAATCTTCTTCCTCCTCTTCATCATCATCGTCGTCGTCTTTCAGACCAGATGAGTACCTATTCACTGACTGCATGAGCGAGTCAGCAGCCATCTTGCCCGTCTGAAAGGTTTTCTTCTCGTCTAAGAAAGATGGTGGAGTATCTTGGGATTCTCCCGTCTGGCCATACTGAACCAGATCCGGGGTGGGACTCTCTGATATTTTTGAGGCTCTGTTGTCAGACTTTGAGTCTCCAAAATGAGAGTAGCCGCTGTCCGCCAGGGGGGAATAGCCCTCAAATGGGTTATTATTCTTCTTCACCTCATACATTAGGTCATCGTCTTCATCAGAGTGGTTGCTGTGCAGGTCTTGCTCATACCCGGAAGAGCTAAAGGGAGCGGTGTCCTTGGAGAAGGTATCCATGGGGACCTTGGAGTTGTCTTGAGATGCTAGGTACGGTGAGTCCCAGTGCTCTGTTGGGTTAGAGGAGGCAAGTTGAGACTCTGGGACCTTCACCTGCGGGTTCACTGGGGAGGGGCCGCTGGGGGACCTGTCTGAGCTAATCAGCTTCTCCTCGGGGGAAAAGGAAACTCCGCTGTCCTCACATTGATTGTGAGGCCCCGGGTCTTTCCCTAAACTCAGGTAAGGACCAGCTAACGGATCTAGGTCTTCCTTAATCAGACTACGGCCTGGTCCAGATGGTGGTCCAGACCCGCCCTCTTCACCCATCCAAGGCATGTCCTTGGAATGAGTATTGGGAGGTGAAGTAGAGAAGGAGCCCAAGGATGCGGCAAATCCCGAAGTAGGTGGCTGATTGGGACTCTCGGTTAGAGAGAGCTCCTCCAGAGAGTCGGGGGAGTGAAGAGGGGAGAGAGGAGAGATGGGAGCAGGGGAATCACCCTTCTGCCCAAGTGCTTGAGTAGAAAGGAAGGAGGGAGAATGCAATACAGCACATATCAAATACATACTCCATTCCTTACTAGTGCCCACCACACCTGGGAAGAACTCTTATTACAAACATTTTGAGGAACCTGAGACCAGACAAGTGCTGCTAAAGTCAGCTGTGGCGGGTGGACCGTACACACACCCTTTGCAAACCAGTTCTTAAAATCAGCATGACTATTTAACATAACAGTAAAGGGGTCACACCTGTCCTTTGAGAGTTGTTAAGTCAAATCAAGGGAACCTCAGGAAAGTAATATCCCCACTCTTTCTTTGAGCGACTTCTATACAGGTCAGCCCTGTTTTCTTTGGAAACAAACCGAGCTATGAGGAAGGTAGTCAGAGAAGACTACCACAGTCCAGAGAAAGCAGCATTTGTCTGGTGTTTTGTATTATGGTTTGATGCTTGGTGGTTTGTCCCCAGGTCTGGCACAAATAAACCATGCCAAATTCGCCTTACAAATACAAAATATTTAGTGATGGCAGATAATGATTCCTCGCAAACAACTTTCACAAAATATTGTTAAATATAATGAATCAATGTTGTTTCTGTCAATCAACGAGGAGAATCATTATTTGTACTGCGCTACTTGTGTTGAGTCCATGTCATCTACTCGACAACATCAATTACATGTGAGTCGCAATGCAACACAAACAAAGTCCAACATCCAATTAAGTGTTTTTAAGGTATTAACCCACAAGCATCCAATGCAAATATTATAAGTGACTTCTTACATGCAAAGAGGTTATCTGTATCACATTGAATAAGGGAGGGAAGGAGAACTAAAGAAGTGGTGAAAGAAAATAATAAAGCAGGAGGACGTGGGGAAACAAGCGAGCAGAGAACTTGCCTGTAGGGAATTGCATCAGAGGATGAGGCTGAGCTTTAGAAGGAGAAGGTTCATCTGTGGAGGAAACAGGAGAAAGCAGCAGAAAGTGAGTTTAGTCAGCCCAGAAGAGAAAAGACCAGGGGAGGGACAGATAGCATCTTCATTACAGAGGAATAGGTTTGATGTCCACAGTCTCATGTGGAAACCAGGTCCCTAGACCAACGCTAGTAGCTCTACATGTCAGTAAGTCTCAGCTGGGACGTCGTAATTACAGCGTCTGGGTGTAGTTAGAGAAAACTAAAACAGGGACACGTGGGTCCCTGCACAATATTCTTCACCCAATTTTAAAATAGAATTTCCCAGGAAAAGACTGGCTGAAGTCGAGCTGGGTATCAAACAATCTTTTTTTGAACACTATGGAACATTGAAATGCTGCACATACGCAAACAGTTTTCTCAGGTGTGTAAATATTTGTTAAAGGTTACAGGTGGTGGCGAGAAAGAGGACAGAGGACAGAGGACAGAGCACAGAGCACAGAGCACAGAGCATCGGCATCATAGCAAGACAAATTAGTGACAGCTCGCTATGGAAAAAGATGAAGAAGGCTGAAAGCATAGAAGAAAAAATAAATTTTAAAAATTTTAAAAAAGAGGACAACTGTCACGAGAAGACACCAGAATAGAAGGTTTGTTATCCTCAGATTGCACAGAAGAACAACCAGGCAATTCAGCTGCGTGAAAGAAAAAAAGCTGCTAAACATGATTGTAAAAAGATTTAGATCAACGAAACGTGACAAAACCGGTTATGGAACTAAGGCAGAACATTTTGCCACGTCAACACGACTTTGGTGATCTGATCAGAGATGTTGGCAAAGCGAGGAACCTTCATTAAGTTACCAATAAAAAAACGGTGAAAAACTGATTAGGCTGAATCACATTAAAAGAGAAGGAATGTTTCTGGTTGTTTCCCCAACTCACTCAACAAAACTGCATGTAGAAGGAAAAACTAAATAAATCACAGAAATAGATGTTACGCAGAACGTGGCCGATAGTCATCACGATGTCATAGACACTTCGATCCATAAGTAGGAACAAGCTTCTGCATTGCTTTGTATTTACAACATTATAATTCCTAACATCCACTGCCTCTCCTTCAAACACAAAGAAGAGTTTAACTTCCACCCAGTAGTCATTTTGAAGTGTGCAGACAGGAAAAAGCAAATGACGTGAACCGGGAGAGTGCTCCTAAGGAAGCCGCTCGATAGCCAAAGAAGAGGGGAGAGCGCTCCGTTTGCATTAAAATACAGCCGGGTGGGAGATTTATACAACTCCACTATGATCAAAGTTTCCTCATGTGTTCACTAAAATCAAACTTTGACAATCACAGTCAGAGATCTGCATGAATTATGAGCAACTGTGCATCTTGAGTTGATCATCAAACGTATTGGATTCACGTAAATCAGAAGCCTCGGAGAATTTGCCTGCAATTCAATTCATGGTGATCTAATAATCATTTGGCCGAATTGATTCTCCATGTCGGGCCTTTTGTTTTTTGTTACCTCTGTGCCCAAGGGTTACGTTCCAGCCATGAAGAAGATCTGTAGGACGGAACCAGACAGGTTTAACATCAAAGGGGTCGTGAGCTGAGCAAACATCAGATGCAATGTCCACCTAATATAACCTGTCTAGCTCAACATGTTAATCTGAGATGTTACGCTCAGTCCGAATGAGTCTAAACCAAGTGGTTGTGATGAAACAAACACCGGTAGAAGATGAGTCATTACACTTTAGAGAATAAAATGAAAATAATGGTTATTGTTTTCCTGCAGCTTCCTGTGACATTTTAGCGTTGTGCTTCCTCTTGACTGATTAAAAATAAAACATTTTGGGGAAGAATGTATGCAAGTCACAGAGTGTATTTTGGAGAGTCGTGAAACGAAACATGAAAGGTTTTAGTGCACAGCACACATTGTGGTCGTGCATTATGTGTTCATCTCACAACAGACTCATGTAGACTATGTTTAACAGCCGGCCTGCTCCTAAACATAGCAACAGAACAATGCACACTTCCTTATAGGAAAAAACAATTTGAAGCAAACTGCAGTTGAAGACCACCAACATTAGTTCATCCAGGTTCTGGTTTCCTATCTTATCTTGTATATATTTTCCATATTGTGTTTTTTAGGCTGCGGTTATACCTTATAATAATGGGCGATAATCCTCTGTTCAATCCCTGGCTTTCCTGCCGCTGCTACGCAATAAATGGCTGAGAAATTACCCAATTCAGAGCCAGGCTAGCTTCTCTTCTTCACCTGCATCCAGGCGTAATGCTAAGCTACCAATTCCCAGACCCACCATATACTGCAGATGCCATCATCTGCATTTATCTAAATATAGACGGTTTATAATCGGTTTCCACTTCTAGATGTCTCGATCAATATGTAACAACAAATGTCACAGATGAGTTTGAAGTTTTATCGACATATACTTTCTTTAGCTCTCAAATACCATTGCTGGTCTTTAAAAAGTTTGTGCTGATTTGAGAGTAGCGTCTCCTTTCTTAATAGAAAACTACATTTATATTATTGTTCTACAGGAAGCAGAGAATATATACGGTTAAATCTGCAGTAAAACCTGCTTTAACACAATGAACCAGCACAACATGGGTACATATCGTTGGCGGTGGAGATATCTCTGCCTACGACGTGGATAAGAGGGAAGATTTAAACAGATAAAGAAGTGCTTCTCATTCCAGTTTGACTCACTTGCAGACTTTGAGCAAACTGCCCCGTTGGCCGGGTATGAACAACAGAGCAAAGCAACCAGCCTACAGCGCAAGACAGCAACAACACTGGACACCGACAATGAGCTTTAAGCCTCCGTGACTGGTGTTGCAGACGCTGCCCCCCCCCCCCTCCATTTAATCCACCTGACCACTTCACAAGCTCTTCCCAAATACAAACAGACGGATGTAGGTGACCCAAAAATAAGATGTAGGCCGGCGGGAATAGTTGATTAAGCATCCAGTCAGTCACGCTGTCGGACACGGCCGAGGGTGGGGACAAAAACCTTTTTTTAGGGTGATGACATAAATCTGTGTGGTGTTAAGTCACAGGACTCATCGAATAAGAGCCGTGTCCAGATAAGAGAACATGGATTAAAGACAACAAGGAAAGACGTGTGTGTGGGTTGTCACATTCAGTTCTCAAAGAAAATGACATGGTAGCCATTATATTTAGTTTGAGGCCTATTTCATTGACTTAAATCACCATTTGACAATGTGTGACAAACATGTGGTTTAAGAAAATCATTCCTCCTGGGTTCCAAGTATTGTTTGAAAATGTAAACTACTACAGCCAAATCCTTTTCAATATTAAGCAATGTGACAATCGCTTATTCAATTCAACGGTCCTCAGGTGTTAAAGATTGTTGGAAAACAAAAAGAAGTGTTCAAACACTTCATTTGGTACCAAAAATGAATCAGGAATCAGTGTCCACTAATCATTTCATCTATACAAGTTCTAATACAGTACAAAATGCCAGGTAGCATTTCCTTAAGAAGTTGCCTCAAATCCCCAAAATTTGCATCCTTTGACGAGAGACAGAAAAGTCTTCACAGATGAGAAGCTGGGGCAAAAAAAAACAAACGGACTTTTAATTATTGCTTTTGCCGTGGCATGATGGTGCAACACGAATACCAGCAAATCCCTCGGTTTCTATCTCCAAGCTTCGTTTCGACCTCTGAATTGTATTCTATTGAGACAACGATACTAAAAATGTTTTAAATAAGTGAGCTCATGACACGGTGAAAGGCCCTTAGTGGATAAACAAACAATGAATGAATGCAGCTTCTGAGTCTCATGTTGTCACATCTACCTTGTCACCCCTCAGTTTTGGGCATGATATAAATTACACTGAGAGACGATGAAAGAATGTACAACCAGAGCCCCCTTTACACGTACACGGCGTAACAAGTAAAAAGGATGAAACAAGAGGATGACAGTGATAAAAGCTGAGCGAGCTAGGAGAGAAAAAGAGGAAGCTAATTGAAAAGAGAACCAATAACTAAGTTATTATCCATACGTGTGAGGCAAATAGGAATCGTTTATGTCTTTTGTTCAGACTGCTGTAACTGGAGCTCATGGTTTATTCACCTAAATGGGCCTCGTGGAGCAGCCCCACCCTGTCGCTCTGCCTGCAGGAGGCAAGACAGGCCTGTTAACCTGCTACCGGCTACATCCCAGTAAACAACAACAACAAAAGCATCAGCTCTCTATACACACACCTCCTGAATCGCAGTCCAAATATCAGGAAAATGCCACTTGAAGATCATTCAGCCCTGCGATAAAACAGCACAGAGGGGACACAACACCGCTCGGAGGCCTCGCCCGGCTAATTGTTTTCCGGATTTAGGGTGGTGGTTTGGGTGGAGAAGGGGGCCTGGAGGGGGTGGGGGTTAGCTGACAATAGGCAGGCATCAGTGAAAAAAAATATAGGACACCATTTGAAGGCTTTGAGGTTAGTCTGGAAATGGCATGGAGATGCAAGGAGGCCAACAGGGAGTGGACGCAGAGCGGATTCCTTTGTTGTGACTAATCTGGGTTACAGCTTTGGTGCGCCGTGCTGTGCTAGCCAGCGCATCCATTATCGGACGGGTTCTCGCCCTACGTGCCGCATTTACCCTCCTATAATCCTCCGCCGTGACATAAGAGTCAATCGCACGTCCCATCAGGGCCATTTCAAAAAAAAGCTCCCATTTTCAAATGTATAGAACTATCATGTTCCGAAGTCAGGCTGACACCGGAGAAGAGAAACCGGACACCATCGCTCGTTTCCCCAGCCATGTTATATATATATATATATATAGATTGCAGGGAGGAAAACCCCCGCAGTACGTGATAATCCTAGCGCACAGTTACCTTTATTTATAGTGTGTCCGTAAATCGACAAAAATGAGATATACGCCCGTGTCCGATAATGGAAATGTGGGTAGCCCAAGACAGTTAGCGATAGCTGGCACGCAACGGGGAGAGGCAGTGAACAGATGGGCGCTGTTCAGTCTGACGTAATAATACAGGTATAACCGCGGTGCCACTTGATTACATTCCTGTGAAATGATCAGCAATAACACGATACATAATAGTTTCTAAAATGAAAGCTGTCGTCAAATCGTTAAAGGCTAAAATGGTGAAATAGTGCCACCTCATCCATAACAGCACACATTATGCTTCCAAACGTGTGTCAAAACAGGTGGGCCGCATCTCTGCAACATTGCAAACCCCGTTACAACCGCTTAGCTCGATCCTCGTCAATCTATGCAAAAAAGACCGAACACGGTTTCTTTTATCGAGATAGATCCTCACACGGCTGCTTAAAAAAAAGGTGCATTTTCCCTTTCAAAGGGGGATCCAACTGTCAGAGAGCAGGTTAGCTCAGTGATGAATGTGCCCCCCTGAGGAGTAGCACCACTAGCCCGCTAACCTGCTAACCGCACTTTAAACGGAGCGAAAACGTTAAAAATATCTGTACAGACGTCTCAATATAAATCAAACCCCAACTGGGAATAAAGTTGGTCAAAGGGACACATGTGGCGCCACACCCCAACCGTGTATTTCCATGTCGGCGTCTGGGCGAGCTAGTAATGCTAACGTTAGCCTAAAAACTGAAAACATGGTTACCCCCAAATACCCGTTAAACTACATTTCACTCGCACTGTACTATTGAAATAAAATGGTTTTAAAAAAAAAGATATTTAAATGGCGTGAAATTTCAGATAACACCGTTCTTTTCAGCTGAGACACTCACAAGATGCTGGAGCTGGAGGTTCCTCTGTCACCGCCGGTCGCTCTGCTGCTTCTGCGGAGGCTGGCGCTGCTTTCCAGGGTTCGGCCGCTGGGAGGGCGTCGGTCTGCGGGGCAGCGTCTGGCCCGGGGGCAGCCTGTGGCTTCGGCTCGATCTGGGAGGACTCGGGTTCGACTTTCGGGGCGACGACCTCGGGCTCCTCGGCGATGGGAGCGGGGGTGTCGTCGAGAACGGAGGAGATGCTGGTGGAGTCCGGAATGGCGGTCTCCGGGTCAGTTTCCGTCACCCCTGGCAGCGACACCGGTTCCGGCCCCGTAACCAGGACGCGCTCCGGTAACGTCGACGAAGCGTAGAGGTCTTCTGTGGACTCGTGTGGCGCACTGCCTTCAGTCAAGTGGCGGTTCAGGGCGTCCTCAGCCCCGCCGACCAAGTCCACGATATCGTTCATGCTGAAGAGGTCCTGTTTGGGCTTGTCCGGCTCGGCCTCGTAGTGGTGCACCTCCCCGCCGAACAGAGGAGTGGTGGAAGAGACGTGGTCGTTGTCTGCCATTTTTTCTTTTCTTCCCAAAAGTGTCTTTGTGAGAGTGAAAAAAAAAAAAAGTTTCCGATCGGTCAGTTTTTGAACTCGGCCCTCTCGTGTCTCTACCTTCCACCGGGGAAACGCCGTGAAACCTCGCCGGTAACTCTCTCCGGTACGTCTGCTTGTGACACCGGATGGAGTTGGACAAGTGCGCCACACGACAGTTGAGTCGGACCCGGGTCTCACATGAACGCTGAAGTTGAGAAGGAGCGGAGGGGAACCGCGCTGACCAATTACCTGAGGGTTAACCCTTGAGTGACGTGACCCGTGACCAACCGGAGCGTGTCTCAGCAGAGGCGGACCACGCCCAGCAGAGTGGAGGTGTAACGGGAAACCTCCTCTGAACATTTAAGGAGCGGTACGTTTCAGTCTGTTCTCTGACATAACTCCGCTTATTGCACAACTTTAACTTACTTCCCCCCTGGTTCCTTTACAGCCGAGACATATCATACAGTACTTTGGAGGAAGAACTCAGAAGGTTTTTGTGAGAGAAAAAAAGTGGGGTAATTAAAATGAGCAATGTTGTTACATAAAAGAACAGAACAGTATTGCAATCAACAAGTAATCCGATAAAAACACGACCCCTAATGTCAAATCAACGAGGTACAATATTTTCCTGCTATGTGTTAAAATTGAAAAGAATGTAATGTACAAGTACCTAAAAATAGTTCTTTTTTAAACCCTCCTCCTGCTACTGTGCAGCTACCACGTGTCACACAGAGGCGGAACAACTGTTCAGTAGTTTTACTTTAGCAATGGCGTAATCTAAAAACGTTCCGGTAAAAGTAAAAATCTTACCTCGAAAGTATTACCAACAATGTACATACTTAAAGTATCCAGTAACCATTATCATAATGTCTGTGCCAAATATGGTTCCCATTCATTCATTAGGTGTTGTAGAATAAGTGAAGAAAACCATCGAGCACTGATCATTCACGTTACTCAATCTCTCACGTCTCTCGCACCATTGGTCCTGTAAATTATCTCCCTCTGCAATTTCAAAAAAATAATATGCAGCTTTTTGTTCATCTTTGCCGCCCACTAAAGACGGTCAATTGAGAATTTTATTTTTTTGTGGGGGAAGCATGAAGCTGTAGAGAAGCAGCGGGTCAAACTCAACTAAGATATAGTGTTACACCACATACTGATGACAGGCCGGGTCCTATATATAACATGTGAGTTAATATGTCTGTAAGTGTATACGACTCCTTCAGACTTTATTCAACATGTTTCTTAATGCACAGAGCAAAAACAATACTCAATGCACTACTAACAAGTGCGAATTAAAGCCTGGCTTACATTGCTCGGTGCCAGAGTCCTCCATCGTTGTCTAGAAGCTACGATCAATGAGCTTCACTGTTGCTCCGGGGGGGGACATGTCTCTTCATTAGCATGAACACACACACACACACACTCACACACTGTGGTTTATTTTAACTCAATCTATCACATCAATGGGAAGTGTTGTGATGCATTGTTGGTTGGCAAGAAGAAAAGTCTGGAGTCCCTCTAATATGTTTTACATCTCAATGGACCTTCTGGTTTATTTATCTGGAATTTGGCACTTTCATTGACTTTCAAGGCCGTTATCAGCAGACAGAAGGTCAATCTGATGAGGAGGACTTTCTTATTTAGCATTTTCCAAACTGTCTTCACATGTGACCCTTCAATTTATAACTAGTGTGCTTCTCTGTGGGAACAGGTGACTTTGGTCGCATCACTGGAACAAACGTCTATGGAAGCAAAGAAGTTCAAAGTGGAATAGTTTGGGTTTGAGTAATAACGGGCAAACCGTTTGGGGAGTCACGGGTTCACCCGACTCAACCATGAAGAAACTCGAGGGGATGCAGGAAGGGAATTATTCTTTCTCAGAAAGAGAAACACATGTGACAGAATCCAAAACTAGATCAGAGAGACTAAGGGTTGAGACGGTTTGAGGGCGCAGGGTTTGAGGTTTCATGGCCTCTATGAGCAAGTCTGAGTATTCAACATTATTCGATTTGACGTTAAAAACGGTTTCAGTTCCAGTTGAGTTCCAAAAACGGAGAACACTGAACTTACAAACTAAAGGCCTCTGATGAACGATCATGTCTCCTCCTGGAAAGCAGCTGTTTGCTAATAACTTTACTTTAGTCGACCATCAATCGGTATTCAGAAACATTTCATTAATCATGAAAATAAGGCTTTCAGAATCCAAAGCCCGGCCCTCTCTGTGTCTGTGCTCCTCAGGCCTTAAAGGGAGCCGTTGCCTCCGGGTTGCAGCAGACTGTTTGTTCTCCAGTCAGAGGACGCTGCAGCTGCACCGTGAGTCACTGCACGTGATGGGAACTCCCCGGTACGGCTCCAGCTCACACCTTGTGACCCTCGACCCCTGACCAGAGCTTCCGATCAGCTGAGGTCGTCCCCGTCGTCGCTCCTTCACACGTCGGCACGCACGCCTTTTTCTCTGAGCTGCGCCTCAGGTTTTAGTCAAAACGGGGGGATAAATACTTCATTCAAAAGTTACCTCGATGAAAGGCTTTTTACTTAAAATTGCTGCAGGGAAAGATCATTTCAAGTGTTTTATACACTGATGGGTAGATTATATTTCATATTTTATTATTATATATCAAGTAAAAAGTAATTTCACTTCCATAATCAATACAGGATAGTAAAAGGTAAGTATTCTTGTCTGAGATGTTGTGCAGTAGAAGTGGAACGTAGTGGCAGGCTGCTTAAGTAACTTAAGTAAATACACTTTATGTAAATGAGAACAAATAAATGGTGAATTTGTGTGTGTGTGTGTGTGTTGACCCAGTTGTTGCGTGCCGCTGACACACAAAGTTATCTTTAGTCAGCTAGCAGGGAGGCTGCGGATGATGGCAGCTGCCCGGTTGCCGAGCAACAGGTTTGGATTGTTTACAGTGTGTTTCAGTGGAAGTTAACAGACGCCTGCGAGACCAGAGGGTAGGTGACATAAATAAATGTTGATGTTGTACAGCGTGCAGATTTGTACATGTGCTGTCTATTCGTTAAGTTATATCAATCTACTGCTCCACTGTGCTTAAGTACACATTTGGTAGTATGACACACTTGAGCGTCAGTCACTTGTTAAAGTATCTTTGGTGTGGTAACCATGCTCGTACTGCAGTAAAGGATCTGAATACTTGCTCCACAACTGCAGCAAGAAAACAACAAAGACAGAAAACATCCGGCTGGGAAGACAGATAATCCCGAAGCATCCGTTCACTAATGTGTTTTATGACAGTCAGCTGTTTGTCCTCCCACATTCTGTTTATCACATCAACGTGCGCGTTTGAATCTGAATCTTTCCATCCGAATAGTGACAATAAATTGACATGCTGCACTTGCTCAAAGAACTCTCTTTGCTTCCATCTGAGCCTCCTGGATGTGATATGGTACAGAAATATTCACCATTATGTCATTTCTTCAACCTGGATTTCTAGTGTGTGCTCTTCTGCTCTCTGTAATTTTAAAAACAAACACCAACAAGAAACGAATAAACAAACAGCTCAGCTACACGGAAAGGGAGGGGGGGGGGGTTACACAGCACTTTTCACTATTTTCTACTGATCCCTGAGTATTTATAAAACAAACACACACATAATATCCTGCTTGCGAGAATTACATCATGAATGGGAATCATTTGTGTGGGTTGATCCCAGTTAATATTTCCATGGATAAAAGGTGTTTCTGCTTTTGGTGAAAAATACTCTGTAGAGTTGGTTGATGGGAAATATTTCTGAGGCACGATGATGATGATTTGTGAAGAAAGCATTTTCCAGATGATGCAAGAGGCTTTTAAAACACTTTTAAACTGTTTATTTACCAAACGAAGTGGGACTCTTTTCTTAACACATAGAGGAACATTTCATCCTTCAGTTCATCACAAACATCCACACACACGGTTGTGAACGTATCGTTTTTTCATCCGAGAGAGAAGGAAGGTGGGGTTTGAAAATTAAAGAAGCTGTGTCATGGCCGGACCAGCATCACACACACACACACACACACACACACACACACACACACAGCAGGGGATCAATATGTTGTAAATGGAGCCAAGCAGTTGTGAGTCAGCACTAAATCTTTGCATCTCCCGTCTTTCTTCTGCTCTTCATATACACGTTCCTTTAGAAAATATTTCTCCTCCATGAAACACACAGTCTGTAAATACAAACATTGAAGCGTAAATATAACTACTGTGTTACTTGTCTAATAATGTTTTCAATCTAGGGGGCGTCGTAAACATCCGAAGGCTTTCTTAGAAATAACATGTTGATTACATTTTGTACTAAAATACAAGTATATCAGTGGTGGTGGTTTCTTTAAAGACCTCCCACTCGGTACATCAATGAGACATTTATTTTGGAAGGGTTTGTTTGTTGAATGAAAGTTACCCTAAAGCATTATATGACCTCAGGAGGGTGCCGGCCAGCAGGGCTGAGAGGACCAGCACCAACAGAGATGAGACTGGCACGAGGTAAAAAGAGTGTTTGGAGAGGTGAATGCGGCATCTCCACGCAGCTCAAGAGAGATAAACTCTGAATCACCTCCAGACGGCGCATGTTTCCCCCAATGTGATTTTACAGCTCAATCCAAGCTGGATTTCCTAAATTTGACATGTGAGCGGAGAGGGAACACAGAGGATGCTGGGTAAACAGTCAGCCTCAGTTTGTAGACCAGTGGGAGTGCATTTGCTCAGTCTGTGTGTCTGTGTGTGTGTCTCTGTGTGTGTGGCTTCGCTCACAGATCGAGGCCTACAGACGACACAAAGCCTCTTCTGTCTGACCCGCTAAGAGTGCGTGTTGTCAGGTTAGTTGGACTTGTGAGGACTCGTGACCTGCTGCACTTGTTATGAGGACATATTGGTTCAGATTAGAGTTAAACTGGTTATGTTAGCGAGATTACGGGTTAAATGTTTATTCTAGTTATAAGAATAAAGGGTGATTGTGGGAGTCGCGCCACCTCACGGCCGAAGTTAAATGTGTGTTCCAGTCAGCCGACACCAGAGAGAGACGGAGGAGGTCTCTAGGTTTAGTTGGGCCTCGCTGACCTTTCAACTCTCACCTCAATCAAATCAATGGCTGAATTTTTGTTTTCGGAAATTTACAATGTTATTTGGACATTTTTATGTCATAACAGATTGTATTTAAGATATAACATGATGCATTATTACATGATAACTTAAGCTACCTGTGTAAAACAAGAAGAGCAAGTACTTAGATATTTACTGCTCTCAAGGTCACTTGTAGTACAATAGGAAAATTGACAAATTTATATAATTAAACTGAGATTATGCTGCTTCCTCCCTGTTTTAGGCTTTAAGGCCACTTTAATCTCCACTTGTGAATCTGTTCGCCCCCTGCTGGCCGTCAGCCGCCACTACTTCAGACTTTTACCTGAGTCATCCCACAGAAACCAAGCAAAGATCAAAGGTCAAAGGTCTCCTAGATTAGGAGATCACGTGACTATGATGGGCGTAATCGAAATGTGCACAGCATAATGGTACCAAACAGATGACACATGACAAAAGTCCAGTTTTGAGTCTTCTCATTCTGTCGATCCTCTTTTGTGCAACGTGGGACTTTAGTTTAGTTCAATATAGACTGTGCATATGACCTCGTCATTGGCTGACTGATATAGCCAGCATCATCTTTTTGCTGTCTGTGATTATTCTACCTTTCAGGCTCGGTTCTCACAGGAACACGTGCTCCATGAGCCGGGCTCCCTCCGGGTCCGGGCTCATGACTCCGGTGCCACTCTGGTCGAGCAGAATGGATAGAACGGCCTGGCTCAGGTCAGCCCGGTTCAGCTCGGTGCACAGAGACGTCACGACAGTCCACTCGTCCACTGAAGAGCTGCTGTCCTGCAGGATCACCTCCTCCAAACCCCCTGAGAGGGCCGAGACACAGGTCGCTTCAGGTCAGGTGGCACATTTAAAATGGGCACTTATAAGCTGCACAAGGCGCTATGAACTCAACCAGCCGTGAAATGCCGGGACAGCTTCATATATGTTGGTGTTTGCATGTTTCTGCTGGTATGTAGATTCGGGACTAAAACTGGTCCCCCGGTGTGTTTGAAATAGGACGTCCCATGTCAAAAGCACCATTTGTTGGGGGCCAAGGACCAACCAAACAGGCACAAACGCACTGAGAGAGGACGGCGTCGGACCTGCGTTCGTGTTGCCGTTGGCTTTGCACCTGCTGCCAGTGTGTGTGTTTACCTCGCCCTTCGCCGACAAAGCTGTCCAGGAGCTGCAGCGCGAGCTGCTGCTGCAGAGGGTCAGCCAGCAGAGTGGAACAGGCCACGCCCATCGACAAGATGGCCGCCCGCCCCGGCTGAGGTGTTGTCAACAGCTGGAGGAGGGCGAGGCTGGGCGAGCGGTACAGAACCCACAGACAGTCGTCTGAAAGAGAGAGAGAGAGAGAGGGAGAGAGTGAGGAGCCTTTTCGAAGATGGACATTTCTAAATCAACTGTTGATGATGTTTTCCTTGCATGTGAGGGGCCATTGCTGCTATAATGGATTTTAAATTTGTTTTCCAATCCAAGACAAACCTGTTCACCACGATGGTAAACAGGTACACGCACACACACACACACACACACACACACACACACACACACACACACACACACACACACACACGGACCAGCTGTGAGGTCTTGGCTGTGATCGATGAACTCTGCGGCGCTGTGGATGAAGCCCCTCCTGCAGATGGTCAGTGCGGTCTTCCTGTCCAGCCCGCAGGCCGAGTAGACGGTGGTGGCCAGCGCCAGACAAAGGTCAGCCACGACGGGGCTCTCCTGAGCATGCTCAGTCAGGGTGTCGCCCACATCCTCAGAGAAGGTCAGTCTGCCAGGATGAAGACGGTTTAGAGCCGAGCAGCAGAAGCCGATCAACAAAAACAAAACCCGTGCTGCGGTTTCCCCGTCGCGTTTACTTGTCGTAGTTGACGGCGTGGGTGATGAGCCGCGTGGCGCCCTGCTGCAGGGAGCTGCGGACGAGCTGCAGGGAGAGAGCCGCCGGCAGCTTCTCGCCGGCTGGGAGGGTCACCAGTAGGGCCTGCAGGAAGAGGAAGAGAGGGGGGGCGGAGCCCGGGGCCCCCTTCACATCTGGGAGAGAGACAGGCGACCAGGAAGACGTGTCTCAATGGAAAACATGAACCAATAAACCGGGACACACTTTGTCTCGATGTCCTCGCCGAGGTGTGGAGGGCATCGGTTCTATTGGCAGTGAAAGAACATCCGTGATTGGTTAATTCGATTTAAGTAATTTCAACGATTTCTACAATTACACGTTTCACAGATGCCTGATAGCAACAAAGTAAGTAAGTAAAATAAATGAAAGATAATAAAACAGTGATTTAGACAAATAACGTCTTTACTGCACAGAAAAGGGCGGAGAACAGAAGTCTAACACAAGAGAAAAACAACCATGGAAGGCCCCGTTCTTTATCTCGTATCGTCCCTTGCATACGTGTCCGTTTCCCACCTTGAAACATCTCCATGATGTCGAGGTTCCTCAGCACTCCTCGAGGAGACCGGGCGGCGTGGAGAGCAGCTTCCTCGTACTCAGCTGAATCAAAGAGCTCAATGAACCTGGTGAAGAGAGGGAGATCATTCAGAGTCCAGAGGGACTGACCAAGACGTGTCTGCGGACGCGGCACCTGCTCAGGTATTCCTCCAGGAGTTTGGACTCGTCGACTCCGGTCGGCTCTTCGTGCTCGAACAAGTTGGCGTCGATGAAGCGACCTTCTTCCTCCGTCACTGCAGGATGGATGGAAAGAATAAAGAGGACACTTCCTTTTTAGGCCTCAGCGTTAAATACCCTTGATGATGACGTTTAGATTTGTTACACGCTGAGATGTCAAGGCGGGTTTTGACCATTTAAAACTCTTGTGTGAATGTGATTGTTTAAGAACAAATTACAGCAGGAGCTGGAACTTCATGGAACAGTAAATGAAGCAGTAGAGAAAGAAAAATGTGTGGTGAACATTTCTACCATCATATTAAACCCATGAACACTCACCGCTGCTCTGTCTGATGTTCTCCAGCATGGAACCCAAGAGCTTCTCCAGAGGAACCTGCGGATTGTCGCCCTCCCAGCTGGACAGACGGTCGGACACTGACGTCAGACGCTTGTATCTGCAGACGGACGGTAAGTCGCAGAACAGCATGAGCACTTGATTCCTCGGCAGGTATGAATGTGTGACTGTGGGGAACGAGGTACGTTGATGTCTTATAGAGCTACGTTCCTGGAGACACTTTCCAGGGCTCTTACAGGACTTTCAGCCGGATGTTCTTGGTGCTCAGCTGGTCTCTGTGGTCCTTGAGTCTCTGCAGCTTGCCGTCCAGCTCGGCTTTGACCTTCAAGGAGACGCGGTGACTCTTCCTTTCCAGTAAAGCAGCCCTGTGGGACTCCAGGCGCTTCAGGTGACCGTCCAGAGCCTCCGGGTCCGCTGATTCGCCCACAGTCAGACCTGGATGTTTTACCAGAGACCAGATTTAACGGTCTCTTAGCAGTAATTTAATGTTGCCCTTTGTTTATCTTTGTAATTTTGTTTGAGTTTCTTTCGTTGCCATATTGCATTTCTTTGTGGTTGTTGGATTTTATTTCCAGCAAGACGCAGTCTCCGAAACAAAAGCTTCAACCGGCCCAATTTATTATCAGGTCAAGATTTACTGCAGAAAACAATATTTACATCCTTGAATGTGGACATTGACAAGTAAACGTCTTTTTTCTTTTCAAACCACTTAATCGACCATAAACCACCTCGACTGTCCTACAAATATAGAAGTAAATAAATGATCACAGTTATCTTTCAAAATAGAGATCCTGATCATACACAGCACGTAGTACACTTTATTCAAATCAGAGTATTAGTATCAGTGGTACCAGGTATCCATGTGCACTGCTCTTGAGATGATTTCTGTCTCTTCATCTCCTCTTGAAGTTCTGCTGTTTCCTTGTGAATTACACAGATTCTGGAAATGTTCAAAGAGAGAGTTGCAGTCAGAAAACGGATGGAAGTTTTGTTTAAAACATTAAAACAATATAAACTTGATTTTCAAACATTACTATCATTCACACTATGAAGGTTCATCTCTTAATTGATAATGTATAAAATACAGCGTCTCTCAAAGAATTGAAATATAATTTTTTTTTTTTAAATGCTGCTCTCAAAAACTGAACTGTTACATACAAAAAAGTTTATACGACGTGATGTTTTGCTATAAATTAAATCAAATAGTCTATCCTCAACTGGAATTTATAAATAGAAAAATATCTCTTTTTAAGTAACCAAAAGTTTTTTTAGGAGTAAAAAGCTGAATTAAGGGCTTAAGGGCCTCTAACTTTGAATCCCTCACACATCGTTCTCGATGATCGAGAATTGATAAAATAGCACCTCTCCCTGAGTTGGGCGGCTCGTCTCTGGCAGCTCATCAGTGACTCTGAGTGTGACGTGGAGGCCGCCAGAGTCCTCTGAGCCGCCTTGGCCTCGTCCTGCCTCCTCTGCAGCGTCCCGATTACGTCATCGTACTCGGCCTTTATGGTCAGCAGAAGTCTCTTGTAGGCCGTCGCTCGTCCGATCACCTGCGGGAAACGAGACCGGGAGGAGACACATAAAGAGAGATCATATCAATGAAGTAAAACCATGTTAGGAAAACTCTCAAAGTTTAGCAAGACTTAAAATAGGAAAAGTGAAAGTATGCGGTAGGTTAATATAAAATTGAATAATGCGTTAATGTGTTCATCATTTTAATGTTGCAGCTGATGGTAAGAAGATAATTCACACTGCTGGATGGGTTACCTTAAATAATAATCATAATCTTATAGTGTGTTATATTTGAAATGAACAATCTGAATCTAAAATAAGCGATAAAAAGCAGAACATGTCCTTCTAAGATGTAATGTTAGTGGAGTAGAAGTATACAGTGTATTACAGTACGTGTCTTTTTTACTGTACAGCAAAGACTGGTCCACTGCAAGAAGTACCACTAAGTTTTACTTTGGTAAAATAATAATGTAAAAATATTCTGAAGTTTATCAAGAATCAAAGGTTGCCAAGAACGGCTGATTCCAACGTGTATTGATTCCAACTAGCTGGATGTGAAGTTATGGGTGCGAACTTACTAAAGTCAAATGAACAACACCATTACGTTTCGGCAACGTTAAATACCTTATCGAAGACGCAGCTGTAGATGGAGAAGCGGGCCGGTTCCTCTCCGGATCCCCGTAGGAACCGCTTCTCTTGTTCGATAAACTCATCCAGCGATCGGAAAAACCTTTCATCGCTCTCAGAAATCAAAATGTCCCGCGTCGAACATCTGTCTTCTATTATTAAAGACGAGCAGCTGGAGTTTTGTGGCACAGACATTGTTAATATTGTTTGATGTAACTGGAGTTAATTGTTTACGCTGTCTGATTTATTTCCAACTGAAGTAAAGGTGCATTACGTGAAGTCACCTGGGCATTGTATGTTATGGATTTGTCTGTTTCCGTTTTAAACAATATGCAGTACGATGAATACCGATTTAAATAGCGATAGAGTTGATGAAAGACGTAACTGATGAATCAACCACAACATAAAACATTTGGAGATCTTTGGATTTAGCGGTGCTGATTAATTTACGGTTAACGCTGGCTTACTTTGATTTACGCTTCGACTGCGTTGCTATGGTTACTGGCGAATTGTACCTGTGAAGTTATTTATTTAGTTGTTTGTTATATTACGGTTTTCTTTTTAATTGCATCCAATGATGCCCGTTGATATGCATTATTGGACCAACCGTATTTCTGTTTGACGAAAGGTCACACAAAAATAAATAAATAAAATAAGTAAATAATTTCGATCAGGCACTGTTGACGGCCTACCCACCCCGTGCAAACGCGGGCAGAAAACCCCATTGCTCGCTTTCGGAAGCCCTCTTCTCATGATCCGCCATTAGGAGTGAACCTGTGGTAAGATCGTGCTCTATGCTTAAACCTAAATATTAACACTCAACTACGTTTTCAATTACTACATTTGTAAAGAAACAACCGGTAATAAGTGTTATGTGTTTTCCCGTGTAGGTGGGTAGAACGCCAGGATGCAGATTTTTGTCAAAACCCTCACGGGAAAGACCATAACCCTCGAGGTGAGTGAGCCGGGCTGTGGCGGAGCGCTGCGGCGTTCAGTTACTGCAGTTACTTCGATTTTTATAGAAGTACTTGCCAAAAATGCAAATACTTACACCAACAATTAACCCCAACATTAGCTAAATCAGCTGCTGCGGTGCTTACACTTATTTAAACATCGCTAGCGTGGATGCTATGTACTCCCGTAGCTTATAAGCTAAGTGGCTATGCTAGCAGTTACGCAGAAGTCCGTAAACACGTGTCTGAAGCAGTCTTAAAATGACCGTGTTACCGCTTAGTTTTCAGTATGATTTATTAATGGAAAATGGGTTAACATTCATCTTCCCAAATATGTTGGCAGCATTGACCGGAAGAAGGTGTCACGGCTGACATGTCTCCTTTACTTTTTCTCAGGTTGAGCCTTCAGATACTATCGAAAATGTCAAGGCCAAAATCCAGGACAAAGAGGGTGAGTTATTTAATCAGTTTGTACGTAAAGTCAGTTTTGGCAGCAGTAACTTATAGAAGACACGAGATGGTGGAATCCAACTAAAGTGATTTACTGAAGTACTTTAGCATAACCTAAAACTATGTGTGGTAGTTGTAATGCCACAGGGACTTATTTGTGTACTTTTAACTGCTGTTAAAATCAACCTCTAGGTTTTGGGCAATATCTACTTTTAAGATGTCCCTTTGGCCTGTGAGGAAAATAACTAAACTGGCTGATTCCTTAAATACAATAACTGTTACCACAACAGTCCATCCTGTCAATTACCTGATCAGTTGTGCACACACTGATGGATAATCCTGATTTAAGAATCAACATCCGTTACTGAAATCATCTTAAATATGGGTGACAACACCTAGTCATTTCTAGCTATACAGCCACTATTTGCTATCAGAAAAAGAAGCGAGGGATGTTAAATCAGGATGTACAACTACATCCTGTATAACCGAGTTATAGTTCCTTGACTGAAACTTCCACTGAGTTTAAAAAAAAAAGTTCTCTGGTTTTAACTTTATTGCTGTATAATCTTGGTGTTAACCATCCCCATCTCTCTGCAGGTATCCCTCCTGATCAGCAGAGGTTGATCTTCGCTGGTAAGCAGCTGGAGGATGGACGCACGCTGTCCGACTACAACATCCAGAAGGTGAGCAGAGGACCAGAAACATGGTTCTCATTCAAAATGTTTGTTCACGTTCACTGTTATTTGTTAATGTTTTAAAAGACCAACCGGCTAACTTTTCTCATCTTCAGGAGTCCACCCTTCACTTGGTGTTGAGGCTGCGTGGTGGTGCTAAGAAGAGGAAGAAGAAGTCTTACACCACCCCCAAGAAGAACAAGCACAAGAGGAAGAAGGTCAAGCTGGCTGTGCTGAAGTACTACAAGGTAAAAACGGGCTATTTAAATCCTACCTAATGACATTCTGGTTAAACTGAGTCCTTAGTTGCTGCTTTTAAATCCGAAGGAGCACCTCAACACATGCAAATGTGAAGTTTAATTACAAGTCAGACTTTAAAAGACCCCGAGACGATGGTCAAAAAAGTAATACTTAATACCTTCCGGGTTTTATTCGAAGATCAAATTTGAGGATGCATCTTGGGAGTGAAAAGTTTTGACTTGTGTTTTTTTTTTCTTCCTCCCTCCAGGTGGACGAGAACGGTAAAATCCACCGGCTGAGGCGCGAGTGTCCCGCAGACGAGTGTGGTGCCGGCGTCTTCATGGCGAGCCACTTTGACCGCCACTACTGTGGCAAGTGCTGCCTCACCTACTGCTTCAACAAGCCCGAGGACAAGTAGACTGGTGTTAACAATAAAGACTGAAATGTTTTGACACAACTCGAACTGTGTTTTCTCTGCAGCTTTTAATTAAACATTCTTCATCCTGGATATCGCTCTGTTTGTATTCTGCTGGCAAAGTGAATACTAAATTTATTTCAAGCAGCTTAAATAAATCTGAGACTTAGGAAATATAAATTATGATTAGAGCAAGAAAGACAGAGCTGAATATCTTGTCACTCATGAAGTCAAATCTGGTTTCGGCTGGAAAGGTTGAGTGACTAATCAAAATACCATTTTTCATGAATTTCCCCACTGAGTGACCATGTCCTTTCACACAAGTATCGTATGGACTCATGAGTTCTAAGCAATGTCTACACTTTGGAAAAGTTATAATGAACGTAGCTGGTCAGTAAAAAAAACACAGGTGAAATGAGTTTGTACTAAAATAAGGTTATTTACTTAAATTGTTACATTGGACAGGCTGTATAGTTTCTTAGTGAACCAGATGGTGTACAAAAACAATACAAACATTAGATTATGGGGAGTTGTCTTTCATACCAACACAAATGCTTTTGCACGTCAGACTGCTGAGGGAAAAACAGTTTAGGTCAATCTGCATCCAGTACAAAGAGGCCGAGGTTTCTTTAGCTTAGCATAAATACTGAAAGCGTAGAGAAGCTGAAGTGATTTTTGGTTTTTAGAGCCATTTCTGTGCATGGAGCTTGGCTAACAGTTTCTCTCCGCTTCCATTCTTTGTGCTAAGCTAAATCATTATTTTACTAGTTAAATAAAATCCATTTTACATCTGAAGAAAATCAATGAATGGGTGAAACCTGAGTAAGACGACAAAGTTAACAAACCTTTTGATTACTCCATCACAGAATGATTTCCCCTCCTGGGTGTGTTGGTTTTATTTTTAACCGCATGTAAAATTGTTTTGAAATATTAAATCTGACTTTAATCATTGTAGTGTGACAATAATAATCCAACGTCTTTACTCAAATTTGTCTAATTACACTTTCACTGGATAAAGGAACCGATTTTATTATAAAAAAAAAGGTCAAATCTATGCATTCGTCCCTCAACTTAGAATTGGAAATCAATTTTATTTCCAATTTTAACAGGTCGATAGGTCTCTATCTTCTGCTGTCAAACAGTCTTCAAAAGTCCAAACAAGGTTTTTGGTTTGGTCAAATGACTGAAAAAACCCAATAAGTCCTTTCCTATTATATGGTTGCAAAACGAGGCCCCACGTGTTCAAACCAGCCGTCATTGAGCACAACTTCCCTGAATCGTTCAACAAATTAGGAGTTCTGGGCTTTGATTAAAAAGGTCTCGGGAGCCATTAAAGACGATCCAAAAAGTTACATTTATTTACTTTGATATTTTTGCATATGAATGCAGTTCTTGGTCACCTTCGTTCCATTTTTAGCAAATGAATGTCCTGTGTCGGACGGCGGAAGCGGAGGGACTTTTCCTCTATTGGCACTGTGGTCCTTTAGGCGCCACCCGCTAAACTCAACCAATCAGATTCCTCGGGCCTCTTTATAGCTGATCAATCTTCAGACGGACAGGAAGTGGACAAACGGACAGACAGGACGGCAGACGTCTCTGCGGGGACTCCGTCTTAGCCTCGTGGAGTCGGCAGGACGTCAACACCACGGCAGCGTGGTGTTCTGGCGTGTTTTAAATCCCCTCTAGGCACGGCATCCAATGGTAACATTTATTTACACAATACACTTCACATATTATAATAGTACCTTTTTTTTATAATTAACTCTACTTTTTAGAGTGGAGATATATTTCAACATGGCAGGAGAACTCAGTCCTGAAGAGAAAGTAACAAAATTAAAATTGACATTTTTAAGCGTTTTTGAATCAGGCAAAAGTGGAGGAAGGTGCCCTTAAAAAAAAATAAAAATAAAAATTCTGTTCATTCATAACGAGCGTCGAAAGCCCCCCGTCTCTTCCCTCCGTCAAAATTACTTTATCGCCTCATTTGGCTTTCACAGAAAGCGTCAAACCTGGCAGAGAGAGGAGGAAGAGGAGGAGGAGGAGGGAAGGACTCCATGTTTGTTTCCAGACAGACTGAAGATAGGAGGAAGGAGGAGGAGGCGCACAGTTCAGCCCGGATGTGGGTCCATTATTATCTCCCAACCTCTCCTCCTCCTCCTCCTCCTCCTCCTCCCGATGAAGAGGGGGATGCACCGTGCAGGTCAGGCGGGACGAAGAGGAGGGGGAGGGTGGTCAAATCTTGATGTCCTGGGACTCCACCATCTTGGCAAGCGTCTTCTTCACTCTGAGGGTGGTGAGGCGAGAGGCGGGGTTATGAGCCCAGCACTCGGACATCAGCTTCAGCATGGCTCGAAGGCACTGCGGAAGAACCGACAACACGCAGTTAAGAAGCAAAGAATGCAACTACTTGCATGGTTCGATGAGGTTGTGACACGGTGGATGTAATATGTAATATATCGGTGTTTTGGGACTGTTGATGGAACAAAAGAAGAGCTTGAAGTGTCACCTCGTCACTGTTCCAGCGGTTGGACACCGTCGGCCTCAGTCCTTTAACACAAACCACCTCCAGCATGTCCTCATAGGACGGGTCGGAGGGAACCATCTCGTAGTAGGGCAGCTGGTAGTCCTCCACGATGCCTGAGCAGAGATAAACCAACACGTGTTCTCATCTGGGTCCAAGGAGGAGAACATTGTAACTTCACAGCCTATTAACATCTCCAATACCTTGTTGAATAATTATTTAATTGTTTGGTCGGTAAAATATCAAATAAAAGTCCACTGAGCTTTTTATTTGACAAAGTACTTAAACGCGATAATATAAATGGAAACCTTTCACCAGCAGGTGGAGCCACTTCATTCAATAAAAGAAACCGATTCTGCTGATTTCATTAGGAAGGAACCAGCAATCTCAATAATTGCTGTAAAATATTACTAAAAGTCTAAGAAAATAATAAAACATTTTGACTTCATTAGGAAAGGCTGTACATTCTAAGGTGACAGCACAGGAGTGTGTGTGTGTGTGTGTGTGTGTGTGCGTACCTCCGGAGACGCAGCGTCGGGCCATCTCCCAGATGACGAGGCCGTAGCTGTACATGTCGGCCATGATGTAAGCCTGGAAGTGGTTCTTGTTGAGGCTCTCGTCCAGGACCTCGGGAGCCATGTAGCGCCTCGTCCCGACCCGGGTGCTCAGGGGGACGTCCACCTCGTTAGTGTCGCTGTGGCAAACGGAAAACAGGAGCTCCGTCAAGTCACGGACACGGACGGGGTCGGCGCCGAGCGACGCTTTCACCGCGACGCGTCCGTCCGCCCACCTGTTGAACTTGACGGCGAGGCCGAGGTCGGCGATGCAGCAGGCGCCGTTCTTCTTGATCAGGATGTTCTTGCTCTTCAGGTCGCGGTGGGCGATGGCCGGCTTCCCCTGCGTGCCGTAGATCTCCGTGTGCAGGTGGCAGAGGCCGCAGGCGGCGGAGTACGCCAGCCGCAGCAGGGTCGGCGTGTCCAGCGTGGTCAGCTTCAGGAAGTCGCACAGCGAGCCGTTCTCGTGGTAGTCGGTGATGAGGAAGAGCTGCGTGAAGGCGCCGGTGCCTTTAATGTCGGCCGCGATGAAGCCTGCCGGACGGAGAGAGACGAAAAAAAAGGGTGATGGACAGGTCGGACCTCCACTGATGACGTGTGCAAACAGCAAGCAACTGTCCAGTTGATCCGGGACGTCGATAAGAGCTTTTCAAAGACACGTTACGTTTCATTTACGCCTTCAAATAAAGCGTATTAGTGTTCAAAAGGACACAAGTTTGAGTCTTTTTAGCTTCTTCGCTACAAACCAACACGAAACGTAGCAACAGCAACTTCTTAAAGATTTAACTTTAGACGGTTTCCTTAATTTGATTAATCTTAAAGGATCTTTTTTAGATCAGAATTGATGCTGCATTGTATATTTGAAAGGCTCAATACAAATGATGTTTACTGACATTATTAATGAACTATGCTCAGCAGAGGTTTCTTAAGTATTCTCCTACAGTTGCAGTTATTACTGTAACGCGCGCCCGGCTCTTCCTCTCTAAATGAATTAGCGTGTCTTCAGTACATTAGAGCGCCGTCTGTTTCCGTTTGACTTTGCGCCTGAAAGACGACGCTCGCGGTCATTACTTTAAATCATCAACCAAATGAAAGATCAATCCAGGTATTGATCGGTTCTGGAGTCCTGCCGTCTCCCTCCGCCGCTCTGAGCTTAGGGTTCAGATTCTCAAGCTGATGTTTTTAAGTAAAAGAGGGTTGTTGAGCGTTTTATCTTGGTTTCACTTTGTACTTTTCCTAAGAACCTGCAGTAAGAGCAAAGCGTGAATGCAAAGGATGTGCTCTGGTACCGAGGATGTTCTCGTGTCTCATCAGGACCGTCTGGTAGATCTCCGTCTCTCGGAACCAGCTGCCTTCCTCCCGGGTGAAGAAGACCTTGACGGCCACCTTCTCTCCCCTCCAGCGGCCGAGCCACACCTCGCCGTACCGCCCCTTACCGATCTGACGCACCATCTGGATCTGCTTGGCGATGGTCCGTTGCACCTGAGTGTCAAAGAGAAGTTTTAGTAAGATTAGTTTTGTTGCTCATCAAATATCCAACAAGAGAACTAACTGAAAAGAATGTTTCACATTCATGTTTAGGAGCGCTAGACACATTCTCGCACAAGAAGAAATAAAACACGCAGAATTGAGTTAGGAAAGTCAAAGTACTCTAAGCCAATAAAAATCTTAATAACAAATTAGTTTGTTCATCTTTAAAAATGGATAGAAAGAAAATGAATCAAATAATCTGCAGAATTCACTCTAGTGGTAAACAATGAATTCAACACTTGGATTAAAACGTAAAAGTAATCTCTTAATTTCAAATGTGCAGTTTTATGTAACTAATGTGTTTTTCCTCTGGCTGCATTGTCGCCTCCCTACCAGCAGGGGGAGCCCGGAGCCGCTGCCGGAGCTCTGTGATTGGTGGATGAGGTCTTTGAGGGACTCTCCACTGGGGATGAAGATCTCCTGCTCCAGATCCTTGTGGTATCGCTGCCGCTCACTCTGCCACTTGTACCTGACAGACAGAATTACATCACTAAACACAGACGCATCACAACCTGCCGCCTCGTCACGGCGCACCGGTGTTAAAATGGCGATTCTTTTGGGTGCGCTGACGGCGACCTCCTACCTGTAGTAACAGACCACGGTGACGCAGATCAGGGCGCAGCAGCAGACCGTCATGGAGATGAGGAAGGCCAGCCAGTGAGGGCTGCCGTCTGGGAGAAACACAAACACCGCGAGTTAACTCCGCGCTGAAACCCGACTGACGCGCGAGTCCCTCGTCTGGGCGGAGCAGGAATGTTACCGGGCGGAGGCTGAGGGGGGAGGGTGGGCTGCAGGTCCCTGTTGCAGAGGTCGGTGTTGCAGCACTCGATGGTCCTCCTGGTCTGAGCGTTGGGAGAGTCCTGTGGATCAAAACAACAACAAAAAAACAATTAAACCCTCAGAACTTCTCACAGTGACACAAATCATTTTTGTCTGGAATCCAAAAGTCTTGTGTGTGTGTGTGTGTGTACCTTGCACTGGAAGTGTGATCCTTCATACTTCATGCAGCCAGAGGTGAGGACGGCCTCACCGTGCTCATCCTCCTCGATGATGGCGAAACACTGGCCGTTGGTCCTGAGGAGACGGCACACAGATCGGTGCCCCCGGCTCAATAACGATGATTTTAAGCCGGTGTGGTGCGCGCCGGACCGGACGGCTCTACTCACTGGCAGGTGTTGTTGGTGGCGTCTTCGGGACAGTGACCGGAGCAGTAGCAGCTGAGGAAGCGCGCGGCGTCCTCGGGGGAGATGGTGGAGTCCTCGCCGGGCCGCCGGGCCTCAGGTTTGACCCCGGTGCCCTGCAGGACGTGGTCCGGGTTCTGACCCGCAGCTTGGAGAGAGAAACCCAAGCAGAGTCAGGACCGGGTTTGGAGTAAATCGTTTAGCTGCACCTCACACAGAGTTTGCATGAATGTTTAAAATGAGCAAGGAATAAATATTCAGTCAACACAGGAAATACAATCTATTCTTATTTGATGGTCTTAATTTAAATTAAATGTGAAATCCAGCAATGTGTTGAGAGCTGCGAGAACAGACTTCAGGTCAGATTCATCAGAGTGACTCGTGCAGGAGGTGAAACATTCCTCCATTGGCAGGACAACAAGAGGAGGAGGAGGAGGTGGTCCATTTAAGGACCACAGGCTATTTATACAACTGGAGTGTGTCCCGTCATAATCTTAATATTTCAGGCAGTTGATGATCATTATTGTAATTGTGTGCGTGTGTTATTAATTTGTTGTGGCAGAATAATTACCCTCTATGTTAAATGACGATTACTTTTGACGTTCTGATTAATTGCTTTAGCTATAAAATCTATATTGTATAACTTATATTAACTTTACTAAAGTAACGCAGAGGCAAAGAGGAGTCTTAATCCTCCTCGGTCTTTCGTTTATCTACAGTCCTCCTTTAATCCTCCTCGTCGACTTCCCGTCTCTCTCTAAGCTCAATATAAAAACAGCGTGAGGTGTGCAGACATGCACGTTGTCATGTCTGGACACGAACTGCCCGCAGAGCCACACTTGCAGCTGCCTGGTAACCACGGCAACAGTCTGTCTGTGGTGGCCTGAAGAGAGAAAAGGGGGGTAAAGTACTTTTCTCTCTTCGTTTTAGAGACAGACGTCCTGTGACTCTGCAGATTGGACACGAGATCGAGAAAGCAGAACGGAATAGGAAGAAAAACGGCTGGTTTTGAGGAGCCACCTCGCACCCAGCCGAGGCGGCGCGTCCCTCTCTGGGCTCAGGGCCGCTGTGATTGGCTGAAGAGAGAAAAGAGGAAGGAGACGTGAAGGGGATGGTGGGTGTGCGGGAGGCTGGAAATGGCGGCTCTCCTCTCCGTGCACATGTGTGCTTAATTGCAGTCGGAGTGGAGACTGAGGTCTGGCAGACAGCGGGCCGGTAATCAGACTCTTAAAGGCACAGCGTCGTTTCAGGCCTGCCGTTTATTTACATCCAGCAGCAGAGCAACGCCGTCCTCTCCCTCTCTTTAAAACACTTTAACGTGCTCACTGCTCAGCTTTCATGCAGAGAACCTTTACGACTGTGACTCAGTCCACAATGACTCACTGTCTGCAAACATGAAGCATGTTGATCAAACCAAAAAAAAAAGAAGGAGCGAATGAATCTTTTGGTTGAACAAAGCCACAATTGAGGACGTCATTGTGGGTTCTGTCTGGCTATTTGCAGAGTTTTTAATAATTTGGGTTTGTGATCAATTAGTTCATCAAAAAACATCATAGAAGATTTACGGTAGAGTGGGTTAAAAGCAGACTGGGGTGCGTTTGTTTCATCGCCCGCCACGTTCCAGTTGCTGAAAGCGGGCGCTCGCTTTTGGGTCGAAGCAGTCGGTGTGGTCTGCGGACGCAAAGTCTCCTGCAGAGACTCTTTACGACGGAGTCAGTCAACAATGACTCACCGACTGCAAACATGCAGAGAAATAAAGCGGCTGGCTCAAAGTCAATACGGATACCAACATTGTAAAAAAATGGAAATAGAATATGGTGAAGAATAATTGAGTTGATCAAGATTAATTAAAATCAATACTTCATTTTACTGTAGTGGAGGAAGTGTTCATATCCTCTACTCTCTCAAGTATTAGAGCGTTTTCCTGTGTGGCTGTTTTATATTACCGTTACTACTAATACATATCACATCTTTGGATCTTTATTAATAAGGAATGAGTGAATGTGGACCAGCTGCTGGTAAAAGCAGGCCATAGGGCGCTTGTTTTACCACCTGGGCCGTCTCAGATGCTTGTTTTAAAAGTGTGGATGAAGGAGAGGCGGGTCAAAGGCAATCTGTGAGTCATTGTTATCTTCTCCTCCGTGTTGGAAATGTACCAGCCACGCTTTGAACTACCCTGAGGTGATAAACTCCACCCGCCTGGGACAGCATGAGTTCTAAAACAAACAAATGATCTGTAAACACGGACTTTACAGCAGGGCCGAGGACAGAGGTGCCGTTGTTGTTAAACGAGTGGCTGTTTTAATACGTCAAACTCTATCTGAAGCACCTTTTCTACTTGTGGATGATGCGATCAGATGGTGATGTTTAATAGTTTTAAGTGTGGTCATTTTATTGGTTGTATTTTAGATCACACCTCTCATCGCAATTGTCAGGAACTGAAATGAACTTATAATAAATGTTTATTAAAAGAAAGGCGTTTGCAAGTCTGCTTGACTTAAAAACAAAATAAAACATTTAACAACTTTGTTTATAAAAAGGCTTTTTTCAACACAAGACGTTTGGTGTCCGACAGCCTCTTTTTAAAACAATCTTCTAATTCAAACATTACGGTTAAACGGTGTAAATGTTTTCACGCCTGCTGCTCGTCCAAACAGACAAGAAGAAGAAGAAGAGGAAGAAGATGCCAAGTATTACATTACACATGAAGGAATTTGTTGTGTGCATTTAACCCGTCCCACACAGCGGGCGCAGCGTGCTGCGGTAAAGGCGCCCGCGGAGCAGTTAGGCGTTTGGTGTCTTGCTCAGGGACACTTCGACATGGAGCAGCCGGGGTTCAAAATATATGAGAATGAAATAAAAGTCACAGTCACAGGTTCATTACATCTTTGTGAAAAGGGGAAAATGCCCAGGAGTCCGTTTAAATGATACTGTATGTGACGAGTACAAAATATTCACACTATAATTTAATCTCCATATTGCAAAGCTCCTTCTTAGGTTATTAAATCCAAAAGACCATTGGATAAAAGTTGGGCTGTGAACCGTTCCGATGCTGCCCCGTGCCCTCACTCCCACCTGAAGGGATTTGGGTTATTTGTGAATCCATTCAGAACGATAGAAGAAAAGAATTGCAGCTATTTTTCATCAAGACAAGACGCAATCCCCCAAAATGCTCATCGACAGACAGAGGAAGCCTTTTCTTGTGCTAAACAACGCTCAAGTCTGACCTAAATACAATGTGAAGCTCCTCCTGCAGACTTTCATTGATTCGATAGTTTGATGACATAATCTCTATGACCTGTAGAGACTTGTTTTAAAATATCTTACAACGTGGAAAGTATTTTGGGGAGGAGTCTTGTTCACATCTAAATGATCCAAATAAACATCCCAACTGTTGAGAGGAGAGACCGATTTCTTTTGTCATGCTGGAGGTGTCTTCAGTCTGACGGAGGAGACGTCACACGGCTGATGACCCTCCTGAAACCAGCTTCGTCACCTCTTGCTCCGTCAACGCGGTCTCTTATCGCCCGAGAGAAGTTGTACAACGACATCCCTGACTGAAAGGGCCTTTGAAGGTGGTTCAGCTTAATATTCAAGCGCTGGTGTTTTCTTCTCAGCAAAAGCTGGGACATCGAGATTGGTGGAAACGCTGTAGCATTGTTACTTGGGCTCTTATTTTGAAGGCCGCTCATGTCCTGACAGGTTGTCCTGTTTAACGCTTTACCTAGAGTCTACAATTAACCCGGCTCTAGTCAGTTTGCCCAAAATATCCCTACATTTAGTCCACACTATTTGGGGCATTTATTGCTGATAAACGATGAATCTGTCATCAAGTCAAAGATAAATGCCAAATTGTTCCCGTACGCTGTCTACGTCATAGGACAACGGTTCCCTTTGGGTTGTGCACACGTGAAGACATCTTGGGAACTAGTGGAGTGTTTTAATTGATCAAGAAGAGCTAAAGCCTTTCAACGGGTCTCAACATGGCGGCGATGCTAACAGCACTGAGTGCAAACAAACACCGGCAGAAGTAATGACAGAGCATGCAGTTGGGGGGGGGGGCATGGCGACTGCGTTATCAGGCACATAAGTGCAGTGCAGAGCGGAGGATGTGAGCTAACCATTGGGGCACAATCACAGCCGACCCGGCTACAACAACTAATCAGGGAGAGGCTCCGATATCACACAAACAGACACACACGCGGTGGCTTCATCGCTCTGCTCAGGTTATTACTACACTAAATCCGTATGCAGTGAATACCTGTTTGCTGCTCTGAATATCAAATTGACCTCGATTCAAATACTTGTAAAAGAAGAAAAAAATCATATGAATGGTGAATTGTTGCCTGAAGCGTGAATTGTTGCCGATCTCTCACTGGTCTAAATCAGAAAATCAGGTTTAAGAAACAGTAGAAGTGTGAAATCAGTCACAACGCTCGGTCTCTGTGTGGCAGAAAAGGGTTCCACAGAGAGGAAACAAAGCGGGTTTCAAAGGGGTCGAGTCCGTCTCCGGAGGGCTGAGGGATATTTCCGGAGAACAATGGCGGTTTGGAGCATTTAGCGCCGCTGACAACTCGTACAGCGACATACAGGAAACAGTTAATGTGCACAGGGGAAATAAGAGCGGCAACAATCGGCTCAACAGCTTCCTGCAGGGACGAGTGGTGGGGGGATTTATTTAGGAGGAGGGGGGGGGGGGGGGGTGTGGTGGCCCCTCACTGGGAATTTTAAGTGAGTGCAAAAGCTGTTGAGTGGGTTGCATTCGCGCTTTCAAGTGAAAGTAATCCATTGTAAACAGAATAAGTGAAGCTGAAGTCTGAAAATGTGAATAAACAAAGAAAAGCGCGATAAGACGGCAGAGGCGGTCTCTCCTTTTCCTGCAGAGATAGTCAAACAGTGCGAGTCGATCAGAGCCCGTCACCCTGAGCCGCCCTGCTCTTATCAGCCCGCTCTGTGTGCCGGGAGGTCAGCAGGTGACCTTTCTCATGTTAAGGGCGGCGGTTTTTGTGACTGGACGCAGACACTTTGTGCTAACAAAATAATGATACATAATTAAAATATATATTGAGGTTTTAGTCTTTTCCCCAAAGCAAAATCTGAGCTTAAAAAAAAGTTTCTCCTGTCTGATGTGTTTTTGCTTTTTAGAGAATTCATTGTTTTCACGGGTTCATTTCTAAAGTCCCTCCATTATCAGCCAATTGACACTTAATCACAGCTTTAAGAAAAGTCCTCTGAGACAGATCTGTGTGCACGGGGAGGCGGGTTCTGATTACAGAGTAGTGACATAATGACGTTTAATGTTAATGTACTGCTTATCTCACTGAAAACAAACTGAAGGGTTAATGAGTAACTGCAGCTGAAACTCCCTCCGTGGTTAAAAGTAAAAAAAAGAAGCATCTCATCTCTGTGGATGATGCTTCTTATGTATTTCAACCTGCACTAATAGCACAGTGCAACAATCCAGCATGCCGACTGGAAAAGCATTGAAGCAATACATGAAAACCCTGCCTTTCCAAACAGACTTCACACGTGGTCGTATATATTTGGGACAATATGGGATTTTTTTTTGTAAATGTCCCGGTCGTGAAACACCCCCATGTGCAGTCTTGTGAGAGTCAAAGTTCATAAGGTTAAGCAGCATAAATCAAGCACTTGTTTGTATTAATACTTTTTTTTTTATTACAATAAAATAAACGGATTTCCCCTCTCGTAGCCAGCTGCTTGTGACACTATCTGAATAAAGGTCCCTTTTCCGTGTGTCAATGGTAACCAGAGTAATCTGTACCATCAAAATCACCGTTATGTTACTTTAAAAAAAGTTTGGTTTGGGATTTTCCATGAATAAAGAAAACCATGAGAATCAAGCAGCAGATCAGATGTTTAAAGGTCTTACCGTCAGTCGAGAGGCTCAGCAGCAGAGCGGCAGCCGTCAGAGCCAAACAGAACCGGAGACCTGCCATCCTGCAGCAGAGACCGGACCGACACCGGGCCCAGAGCGGGCCGGGCTCTGTGATCAGGAGCTCTCTGGTCAGCTGACGCGCAGAGTCCCGATAAAAGGCTTTAATCCACAGCGGGAGTCCAGGGAGGTGGGGGGAGTCGGGGATGGGGGGAGGGGGAGGGAGGGGAGTAGCTCCAGGCGCCCAGACGAGGCCTCAGAGAGGATGATCCACAGGAAGACGAGCAGGAGGGACGGCCGGAGGCTGGGAGGACGGGACGGTGATATCACAATATCAGGTCTTCTGTCTCACTGGCTCTTTGGGTCCAAAACCCTGAAGAAAGAAGATCCAGAATGAGGTTGATTTAAACATCGGCCCCCTCTCTCCCTCTTATTCGGGGTGCAGTGACCCGGTAACCCGAGCCGGATCGGCGGTCCAACTAACCACCAAATAATTTGTCCAAGGATGTCCTGCAAATTACAGCCACAGGCCCTGTGCAGCGCTCATGAAGGCACGGGGCAATTAGTGTGAGGGATGTGAGTGTGTGTGTGTGTGTGTGTGGGGGAGAGAGAGAGAGAATTAGTGGTGATGCGTGGTTGGTGTCCGTCACTTTTCATTTGCCCGGGGGGGACAAAGAGGCCCGACCTGCGACCCACTTTTCACACATCCGTGGCTGAGGAGACCGAGAACAAAAACACACTGACGCACACAATACCATACAGGACATGGCGAGTACACGGGAGTAATGTGCATGTGTGTATTATCGCATGTGAATGAGTGGAAAGGGGACGCAAGCGTGGGCTTGTTTTGCCTTCTTTGTGAGGACCAATTTCAGCTTTAAACCACCGTAGTGGTCCAGGACATTTTGGTCCTCATCAACTCAAGGACCGTTTTGAGGTTGGACAGCTCTGCATTATGTCAAATCCTCACATATTTATCTGCGGGTCAGCGTCACTGTGACGATAACCGCGTGGAGGAATCTGCGCCTCACTGCCACAACGAACGTGGAGTTTGTGGCTCCACGTAGAGACCAAACAACAACAGCAGGAAGACGATTGTGAGATAACACAAACACACACAGAGAGAAAAAGAGGGTTGTGGAAGGATCGTTTGTTATGAGTTTTGAGTCCCTAAGACAGGAAGCTGCCTCTGCGGTACGCAAACCCCTCCTCACCCCCACCTGCCCTGATTCATCAGACACAAGGTGAGACGATTGCATTTAATATACAAGTATACATTTTACACACACACGTATGGAGGCTGAGATACCACAAACAATTGCATCGGTCAACTTGCAGAAAAACTAAATGTAACTTCAAGAGATGAAAGATCTTCCAAAGCCCAAACCCTCAAACTTTCACTCCTCCTCCTGTTCAGACTCGTCTGTTATCCTTCTTCTGTTTCTCAGTCAAACAACAAACTCTTTCCGCCAGCAGAGATTTAATGAATAAATGCAGATACCAGAGTCTGCCCACTCATGCTCTTCTGATAACTATCTACTAAATGTACCATGTTGGTCCATGTTGGTGGCTGGTTAAGATGTTGACGTGCAACAATCCGCTGTAACGAGCATTGAGGTCAACGCGTTATATATTTTTGCCTTTGTTACACAACAGTTAGCGCTGCTCTAACTCAGGAGGTTAATGTGCCGCGGCTCCTCCGGCTCACCTGGACGTGACATGAGAGTCTTGCAGGACGGGCAAATGAAAGGAGGCATTGTTAGCGGTCCCACCTGTGCAGAATAAAAACACCCGTACAGGGAACCACTGAGCCGTCGCCAGTCGCCCTCAGTGGGGGTTGGGGGGGGGGAGACGGGACTCTGGGTCACGCTGCTCCGGGGATGCTGGGAAATCAGGCGGGCTGGAAACCCAAGCGCCGCGTTAAGAGCCGTAGAAGACAGAGAGCGCTTTAAAAGGCTTCTGGGTATAATAACTTTTCATTTGGATGGAGAGGTAGCTGGCAATAAAAACTATTGTGTAAAGTCATATCACGCTGCCATGAGCGGTGGCGCCGGCAGCGGGTTGTATAGTCAGTGTAATGCAGAGCGAGGCACCAACACCCAGCGGGTTAGAGGCTCGATTCCAACAACCTCAATGTCTTGATAGTAGTTTGAGCCAAAATTTCAAATTTAAACATAACTCAATTAGCAGAGTGAGTTTATATCGAGTTCATATCTCCAGATGTTTTGGGAGGTATTTAAGGTCAAGAATCAACTTTGAGTCAGTGAATCAATCAGTTAAATGACAAAAGGAATTTTAAAGGAATCTGCCGATTAAGACGCAAAAAACGAAGCTTTAGCTAGTTTCTCAAAACTCTTTTGAGACATTTACAAATAACTTCTTAACAAATACATTGTACACTTTCAGCTTGATTTTTCATATTTCTATTTTAATGAATCATACATAATAATGTTTCTTGAAATTTGCTGTACTTTCCTTGTTTTGCAATAGGTTGAATTTATTTCCCCATTATGAACTTTCTTAAACATAATTTTGCTAAAACAACCAATTTAAAATGATGATATTGGCAATTTGACAAAACAGGACAAACAGTACTTGACTGTGCGTCGTCACCACGGACACCATTTGTTTCATGATAAAAAATGTCATAAGAATTCCCTAGAAAGAGAAATATCTTCCGTCACTGCAGAGGATGTCTTTAAAAGTTGTGAATCCATCAACCTGCCTGCGCCTCGTGCTTGACTCAACCGGACTCAAACCTTCGGCTTCACAAATGCTTTAAGTAAGTTTTCCCAGCTACTTCGAGTCCACGCGTAATTTATTAACTTTACAGCTCCTCGCAGAGCTGTTAAAATACGGGAAAATTATACCAGACGTTGGTAGCGAGGCATTAATAATCCATCGCATAGGGGCCAGACAGCAATAATCAAGCCTTAATGCGTCTCCACTTCCTGCTCTCGGAGAACGGCGGCAGACTAAATAAACGCCACAGAGGCCCGATGGCATGAGCGCTCAGCTCCAGAGCTCTACAAATAAATATAGTAATGAGGGAGATTGGGATCGGTGAGGTGGAGAAATAAAGACGGGGCAGCTGGGACGGAGCACGGACTGAGACCGTTTTGTTTTCATGAATCAGTTTTCACCTCTAGCTTCTTATCAGACCAATTAATATGGAGCTTATCAATATGAAACGTCAGAAAATAGAATCGAATGTGATACCGAGCAAAACCGAACAACTTTACCAGCACAACTTGGTGTGGTTCACCAACAGATCATCATAATGTTGTTCTGTTTGTAGTGAAGGAACTTTCTCACCGTCTGCTGTGACAACACATCAGACCACCGGAGTTATTTGATGATGAAGTTATACATTACATGATAAAATTGTATTTTTCCCTTTCAATGAGATATTTAGCGTTTATTACTCCACTTTCCAGTAATCATATTTATCCCCTTTTGACTGCTTTCCTTATTTCTGTCCAACACGTCCTCCCTTCTCTACTTTCACTTTTTCTCCTCTCGCTCCCTCCAGCGTGGCCCCGTTCCCCCTTCCCCTCCGGGGCCCCCTCCTTGCAGGCGGGCCTCTGGGTGCAGCAGCAGCAGCAGCAGCAGCCTCCCTGTTGGTGTCGGCGCGCTGCCCGACATGCCTTTCAGGGCCTGGGAGACTGCAGGCCAGACTTTCTGGCTCCAGTGCCATTGTTTGCTCGGCTGCGCTGCGCCTCGTCCCCGGCGATGGATTAGCATAAGAATACTCTCTTCCTCCCTGCATCTTCTGCTGCCTCCTCCTCCTCATCATTCTTCTTCTTCTTCTTTGGTCAGTCACACAAATGAATCTGGAATACTCTTCTTCTACCACAAATTGTTTGGTGTTGGTTGTTGGGCACAGTGGGAATTACACCAAGCACCCAGATAACAGTCCCGCTTCACCTGTTAGTTCTATTTGAAGTGACCTGTAACCTATTTAATGAGAGTATCTTAGTCTTAAAGGGCACTAAAAACTGATCAAGTCAAAAACATCTTAATTGAGTATTGCTTGATTATTAAATTACCTCACCGGGCCAATTTACTCTTGGATCGTGTATCTTGTGACAGGCGCTGCGGTTTGATACAACTAGGTATATAATCAATACATCTATTGAGCAGTGTTTATTCGCAGTGATCTCATACAGTCTCAGGAAAGCCTTGTCAAGAGGAGAGTTTAAACACGAGCGTCGGGTGTTCTTCAAACCAGCGCAACTGAATTTTCAAAGTTCCGTTGTGCAGATAAACGTCCACTTTGAACTCTTCTACAAAGCTTATTGTGAATGCAGCCGTTACTAAAAAAAAGCAAGCAGCGCCGCACAGTTTGGGGTTTTTAGCCTTTGTGATCTCAGAGGGAATTGAATCTGGCAGAGATTGAATCTCTGTCTCAGAGACACAAATGAATACGAGGAGGGCGAGCGTGCAGTCCTGCAGAGAAGCATAACTTCATTAGAGGCCAAGAAGGTCTGCAGAGCAGCTTCAGCCCCCCCGCACCCTCTCTTTATTTATCAGGTTACAGCACAACAAATTACACAGCATCCGAAGGGGCCGTACAGGTCCACGTGAAGGAGAGCTGGGCGATATATTGATTCCATCAATTCATTTGAATCAGTACTGGTTTTTTACCTTTAGGTCAAGCTGAATCATGGATAATTCTACAACCGCAAAGAATAGGAATCTCTACGTCGTGTAAACAAACCACCTTCAATCAGCTGAGAACTCTTTTTGTACATAGAAATCATGGGTATAAAAATGTGATAAGCTCATTTTTGAGTAGAAGTAGTCACTTAAAATTGACTTTCTGGATGTTTGTGATGATTAAAAATAAGCCATTAGTGCCGATCTGCTCAAACACCCTGTGGACACGATTGAGACAAAACAGACATGGAGCCTGGTCTCAAAAGTAATAAACCAGTTCAACATGGCTCCCTAAAAAGGTGATTTTAATCACTCTAAATCGCCATAGAAACAGGTCTATCCATCACCGGCAGTGTTGCCTTTTCCCCACCACAGCAGAGCCGTAAAACATACTCAACATCATAAAAACCAGCATCATAATCATAAATCACACTGATTAGCGAGTAGACACCAGAGGACTGGGAAGTTCTCCACACAACACAGTCCTCCCAGTTAGGCCAGTTGACTGCTGCTGTTATATTATACAGAAGCAAGCTCCATATACCATCGGTAAAATAGTTTCAAGGGAGGTGAACAAAATCTAGACAGATTTTTAGGTATTTAAATCAAATATTGTATGAATATGACTGCATTGGAAATAATTACCAGTATATTATATCACTAATATTAAAAACATTATTCATTCAAGGAATTCAATCAAAAATGAAAAACCACCATTCCACTTGTAGATGAGGGAACCAGAGTGCCATTAAGCCCCGCCCTCCTCAAACTGTCAATCACATTTCTGTCCGAGGTCAGCAGCATTTTGAGCCAATCCGACTCAGACGTTGAGAACTTCTTTTATGGACAATTTTCCATTTGGAAAAAGTCATTTTCTGCCTCAGCTGCTGCTCGTAGGCCAAACTGGTTTGATCCCAGTATGAAGAAATGGAAACTGGAGACAGAACTGGAACTTAGACAGCTTTCCCCAGAGACATACAACTAAAATATAACTAACTGTAGCAGACAGAACATTGGCTGTCTGTGTGTGTGTGTGTGTGTGTGTGTGTGTGGTCAGAGGCCGGACTCCGTGAAAGGAGGCTGGATGGTTTCATCCACCGTGTCGCCTTGGAAACTACGGCCAGGCCACAGAGCCATGCATGGACTGAACAACGACACAGGTGGTCCCGAGAGTGTGTGTTTGTGTAAAGGAGGAGAAAAAAAGAAATAACACAATATAAAAATCAAATGTATAATCAGAAATAGAAAGTTACGGGTAAACAAAGACGGCAAAGAAAAGGCTTCAAGACAGAAAAAGAGGAATCTAGTAAATACAGAAAAACATAAAAGGAAAAATGAATGTTTTTGGGAACAAGATCAGAAATCAGTTTACTTTTCAGGGTTCAATGTCCAAATAACCAAGAAGAACAGTTGGGCAGAAATGGAGTGACGAGTTTATAAAGAATGATTTCTAATGAGACACAAGGAGATGGCTGTGTTTTCTTGTGTGTGCGAGTCTGCCCTTTAAAGAATCAATGAAACTATTGTTTAAATAGTCTTTATATTTGTATGCTGTATTTTTAGGACGGGATCTTACACAGCAAATTGACCAGAGTTAAATTTCTGGTGTTGATAAAGATAGAGTCAATCGAACTCTATTTGGAATTGATTTAAATCTGTATGTTGTTAAATCTGTTTGATTTCACACTGCACCACAAAAGAGTTGGTGTCAAAATGGAGTGTTATTACTGTTATTGTGAAACCAACTCTATGGGTCGTCAGTCTCTCAGCTCGGGTGTAAGGAGTGACTACCCTCTGGCATCGCGCGAACAATAATCTCGTGAGAGCAACAATCTGGCGGGATTCAAGTAATTTACCTGCACAACTCAACTGGAACGCAACGAGCAGCACAACGTTTTCGAGGACAGTTTGTTCAAAATTGAAGAAAACGTGTTGCATTGTGTCGGTAAGTAACAGTTAATTAGATAACCTAATGAGTGCTATTATTATATACAGATGGACATATATTTAGACATTAGTAATATATTTATAGCCGCTGTAATGTAGGTTAACTGTTATGCTGCCGCCTTTACTCCAGCCAGGCTAATGTCAGCTAGCTAGCAACCGTAACCTACGCCCAGAGCGGACAAACTACTGTAGGCTACGGTAACTGGCAAGCTAACGTTGGCAAGCTAACGTTAGCAAGAGTTTGTTTCTTCTACTTTCACACGTTTTCTGATTACTGGTCTATTGAGTCTGACTGTGAGCAAAATAGAATTCCTGTTGAGTGTTTAAAGTTTGGCAATGTAACGTTAAGTTACGTGACGGTACTTTAGTAATGCCAACATTCTTTCAAATAAATAAATGCTAGTTAGCTGGCTAGCTGAGAGCCAGAACCGGTTCTCACGTCTTAGCTGCATGGAAGCAAATATTCTCATACAAGGACTGGGTATATGTATATCTAAATTACATTTTGATTATCAGAAGTGTGGGTAGTTAATATGAAGTTACTATCGGAAAGTTAATCGGAAGGACTCCTTTCTCAAATACGTTTTACTGTTTTTATAATTACTCAACGCCGCAGGGCTCAAGTTTTGAAGGGGGGGGGCTGAACGCTACGGCTGACCGGGCGTGGACACTACGTGCAGCGGTTACGGTTACAGACACCGTCGGGAAGGTTGGAGGGGAGCCAGCGCGGACTTTTTTTTCAGCGTGAGAAATACGATGTGTGGGTAACACTTGAGAGCCCTGACGCCACCAGTTACAGCGCACGGAAAGCTCTTCACAGTCGAATGCATTTATTCCATGCTAAATGCATTAAATCGACATTGACAAGAGCGCAAGTGCATAGAAACTGCAGTTTGACTAACGTTAGGCAGAATTACACGTTAAAGCTCTGCAGCTCTGCTTCGTGCTGAGGTTAGCTAAACTGTTCTTTTCTGCTTGTATTTTATGATAATGCCTAAAACAAGCGCACGTGGGTCTTTTTATTTTACCGACTGACTCAGCTAAAGAGCTGCTGGACAAGTGGAAATTTAATCGGCTTTGATCAAAGACTACTATTTCTGTGCTAATTCATGTTGTTTTCATGTGCTAAAAACTCTTGTTTTAGAGAGGCATGACTGACTCCTATTTGGACTTGTTTTAATCTGTTTTATTCTTTATCATTTTACAGGAAATGTTGGCTAAAGTGGAGATTGGAGGGGTCCTAAAATACGTGAAAATTCCAGAGACTGATGGATTTTTTCAATTTGATATGTTCCTTCAAGAAGGTTTGTAGTTTATGGCTATATATTTTGCATTCATTACTGTTCTCACTGTAGTTGAACATGCAATTTAAAAATTATCTGAATAAAGAGGTCAAAAGTACCAGTGTTATTAGCATATTAATGACCAAAATGGCTTTGTCCAAACATGAAAAAAATCTCCATGCCTAATTCATATTGTTATTGCTTTATACTAATACTTTTTATTCTTCTAGTGAACGACGAGTTTAGTCTGCAGCCAGACAGCTTGAGTGAGGGCCAGTTCACCGTCACAGATATGTCAGGAACAGAGGTGGATGGAGATATCTTTGATGAGCTTGTCAAGTCGGGTGTCCTGACCTTCAAGGTCCCTTTACCAGTAATGGGTAAGGATGTGAAGGCAGGGGTTTGATGAGGTATCACAGACAACGTCAAGTAGAAAGCACAGTGTTTTGTCGGAAATATATTTTTGAGAGACCTCAACCTATGCTATAATTTGATATACTACTGATCATTGTCTTAAATACATATGATCTATCACTGGGTAGTAATTAAGGAAGAATATAATATGCTTAGTACTTTTTAAATGCTTTATTTAAGATTGAGATTGTTTTGTTACTGATAGGTACATGTAAATTGTCTTTGTTCTGTCTGCCATTTTGTAGATCTGGATGTTGAGCTGGTTGCAGATCAAGCATCCTCCTCCGTATTGACATCGCTGTCCCCAACTTCATCCCATTCATCCTTGGTAGTGGCACAGACTGCACTATCCCCAGCTTTATCCCATTCATCTGATTCCACCGTTATTCTGGAGTCCACAAGAAAAAGGAGGAACCCAACAGGGTTAATGGACCAGAATGAAGCAAAACAGGTAGAGCTTTGAATAAATACATTTGAAATCCTAAATTAAAATTAGTTTTTTTTGTAAATCTATTCGCAGTATAAAGTAATGTCATTAGAAAAGTTAAATTCTTTAAAAAACCCACTAAATTACCGTAAGCATGCCATAACAATGTTAATATTTCTTGGCAGATGGTTGAGGGTGTTCTGAGGGCCAATCCAAAGGATGAAGAAGTCTTCAATGAGTATGAAAAGACTAAAATACTAACTGATGCAACCCGTAAACAAATGGTGAACATCCTGGTTGCAGATATGATAGAGCTACATGGGTAAGAATTGCAGGTCACTTGGTTATGTCATGTGTTGTAGCTAAATAATGCTGTTCTGTATAAGTAGTAAAGGTGTATTTATTCTTACAAAACATACATGCTTAAAAGTAAACTATGACTTATTTTTAAAGGAGGGTTCCACCGTCAAGTGTAAGGACCAATTATGCACTGGGAATTGTGACTCTTTTTCCATACCTCCGTGATCCATTCTCCAAACTTGGATATGTAAGTTCTATCTGAAAACCAAATCAGTGTGATTTCAATATCTTCTTCACTTTTCTAGTTTGTACTCATCTTGTTTCAGATGAGTTTTTGTAGGTTGCTCACCCTTGCATTTTCAACCTGTTTTTTAAAATGTTTTGCAGTCTATTCACTGTCTACAATTTTTGTGTTGAGTAACTTATTCTTAAATTGAAGCATGAGATGCCTCTGTTTGTGTCTTTCTTTAAAAAGGAACACTACTATGATCCTGAGGGTAATACTGGCTTAATTTCATGGAGGATCAAGACGGTTCAACGCAACACCTTTGCTGGCTTGCGGGGTCGTTCCAAGACCGTTCTTCAGGATGGTCCAAAAACCAGGCGAGAATCTCTGTCAACCTGCCAACAGCTATTTGGTGAGGAGTGCAGGGAGGCGATATCTACAATAAGACATTCCAGCAATGAATCTGTGGTCAAAGAGAAGATGAGAGCGACCTTCCAGTATCGACAGAAGATGGTTGGGGATGATGCATCATCTTCAGTCCTGGATGTGTTCCCTCGTTTTCTTGATGTACCTGGATTGGTAAGAAAACTCTTTTGCTTTGGTTGTAGTTGTCCAGTGTAGAACAGTAATATAGTCCAGTGCAGGACAATATAATATTTTTCGGCACTATACTATAATCTCTTTAATCTTCTTTTCAATCTTCCATTTCAGTATTGACCTTTCATTAATTTTGTAATGTATGCTCGAACCTTTTATATTAAAATATTGTTTTCCTTGTTTGTAGATCGACCAGGATTTCTCAATGATGTTTGGTGACGAAGTGGTCTCAGAAGTTCCTGTCTAGTGGGTCAACTTTTCTTCAAGCCAAACATCACAGACTGCAAGACTGCAAAGAATATGGATGAGTTGCTGTCAGCAACTGAATCTGAGTCTGAAGATAACAATGGTCAGTATAAAACGTTTTGTTTAAATATATATTTCAGTGTTATACTAAATAAATACATTTTTTATGCCTTTAGGATGGGACAGTGAAATGTCTTCAATCCTTTTACTGCTGCATCTACTCCCTCCAACTTCAAGGGGCCAGAAAAAAACTGCCAAGATCAGTTCAGCTCAAGCAACCAGCCGTCTTGTTAGATATCTTAGGTATGCAAAAGTTCCTACACCAAGAATCCCTGAATAGATGTTGGGATTCTGAGACAGTTTTGCTCTGTATATCTGCTGAAATGTGATCAAGATGTTATAGTAATTTATGTCTCTTAACTGACCTACAGGAAGGAGCCAGTATTCCTACCTTCCTTGAGAGTGTCGACGCAAACAACCGTTCCTCCTTTGCATTGGTGAGCAAAAGAAGAATATCCAAAGGTTCTACCTTATTATCGACCGAAAAGCAATCCCGTGCAAGGCACACACATCAGGGGCAGCTTTAGACATTACATTTGGACGCCTGTTCAAATGTTACAAGTACAAGGTGGGTCAGATATTACGGTACTGAGTACCAGGTTGGGCTGTACTTATGCACTGGATGTACCGATGATCTTCCTGTGTTCAAAAAGATCTGTGATATTATAATACATGAACAGCATGCTTTCATAATATCCTGTAATGTACAAACAATGTACTATGATGACCACTTTAGTGCATACTGTATAGAAGACCAAATGAATGTGTTTTCTGTCATATCTGTGAAGGCACTGACTTATTTTAGACCATTTGACAAGCAATGCTCTAATGACAATAGTCAAAGAGCGTACATAGTGCCTTATTGTTACATTTAGATAAATGTACAGCAATGAAAAAAGATTTGGTAATGTTGATGCATTAGAAGAAATAAAAATGTTAAAGTAGTGAACTTGTCATTTGTATTGCTAATTATTGACATTTCATTTAAAGATTTTTTTTGGTGTGGGGGGGCGGGGGGGGGCCAGCATTACACTTTATAGTGTTAATGGGGCCAACTCCCTTTTATTAGTATGCACTTCACCCCATAAGGAGTTAATTAATGACTCCCAATGAGTATTAATTTCTAACCACTACCCACTGGGTGTGGAGAAACCTAACGCTTGAGTATTGGTAAATTTCAACCTATATAGAGGTTAAATTAACTCTATAACAGGTGTTAAAATGGCAACACTTTAAAAAGTGTTACATGGACACTGTGTAGTGTGGACCCCATGGGACCACTTAAAAGGTGTTGAAAATTAACTCCCAATAGTGTTAATTTGAGTCTGTCCCATTTGCTGTGTATAAGCCATTTTTTTTGCATGGGTGCTTTGTAACTTTACTTTGAAGGAGGTGCTGAATGCGGTCACAAAGTGTGTGTCAGATTAGACGACTTTGAATGTCCAGTTTAACCTGCTTATAATAAACACGGATGGGGTTCGTCAAATCATTGGCTTACACTGACCAGGACGCCAATTTACAGCATTCATTTAGGCTCTTTTTATACACGACAAGAGGAGCAAAGCCTTTTAAATATGTGGGTAGGAAAGCTTCTCCATTCTTGTGATCGTTTTATACATTACTCTCCTGATCCTGGCCGCTCGCAGCCGTTGCTCCGTGCTCCTTGAAATTAAGACGGGGAGGGGGGGGGCTTCAGGACTCATTAACCTCAGATAAGAGTGAAGCTGTGACTGAGAGTTCTCCACAGCGACTCGCTCAGATGGGCGTCTGAGGAATTTATGACTGACTGCTGACAACCAGCAGAATCCAAAAATAGTGAAGGCCGGGGGGGGGGGGCGGCCATTAGAGCGAATGAAAGAGAATTAGAGTTAATGTTAATGTAGTATAACCTCGTCTCTACGCCGGGAACTTTAAGCTGAGCCGGCCTGCCCTGCGTGGGTGAAGCGTGCAGGGCGGTGCGTGTGCGTGTGTGTGAGAGAGGGTGGAGTTGTGTGTGTGTGGGTGGAGTTGGAGGGGGGGGTTGAGGGACACATGGGAGCGATTTTGTGCGGCAGACTGGCCGGCTCTGTTTGAAGGTCTGACAGCGAGCTTGAGTCACTTCTTGGTCCTGAAATCCGCCTCGTTGTAACACGAGGTCACGTTCTCCCAGAGAACCGGCGCCGTTTAATCGATTTAACTCCACTGAATGAAAAATTAATGGAAAACAGCTGTTGACTCAAGTGTTTGCGGGATAAAAAAAGAAAAACTTTTATTTAATAATTCCTTACCAGGTGCTCGACAAAGTAAAGTGTTCAGAGTCCCTCTGTGGTAAAGTCCCGCTTATTACGCAGCTCCTGTAACATTAATTCCATTACGGTGCTTTCAAAAGGTAACGATCATTTGTCTTACAACTTCCCACAATGTGCTTAACGGATATCTTTTTGACCAAAAACAGACTCACACACGCAGAAACCTTTCTGACATGAAGGCATGAATTCAACTTTCACACAGACACACATGTGGATATGACACACACTTTGAGCTCAGTGTAATCACCGCTCTTCCTGCTCTCACTTGGTTATTAATCACACCAGATGACAGCTCAAATGACTCAATCGGAGCCTGTAATTAAAAGCCAGGAAGCCTTCTGATTGGCTCGCTTTGCCTTCGGCACCGGGGTCAAGGGGTTAATCTCCTCAAAGAGCAGGAGGATGGGGGGGGGGCTGGCTAATCAAGTTGTTTTTTTTAAGGATTGTGTGTGTGCATGTGTGGACACACAAGGTAAAGCCACCCAGTATCACTCTTCATGTAACCACAATAAAAAAATCCTGTAGACGTTACACACCGACTGAAGGGAACCGGGCTTCTGACCAGTGTGTGTGTGTGTGTGTGCGTTTCCATACCTGACTGGTGGCTCCATGGTACAACAGTGTGTGTGTCAATGCACAGCTCCATGGGAAACGTAGTCTTGAGCCAAAGGAAGCCGGCCGGATTCAGGCCACCATCGCAATGAATTAATGACCTGTCAGGGAGACAAACCAAGAATAATTAAACTAGAATTATTTCATAGCTCAGCAACCATCAAACACTTTGTAATGACTTTACAGGAATAAACAGGAACAGTTCCAGTATCACCAGAGTACAAACAAATGCTGACGCATGAGGTCAACACAGTCATAAATATAAACTCTAATGAGATGCTCCTCGGCCCCAATTACCAATGGAAGCTTCTGGAAGACCCCAATCCCCCAACTGCAAGGGACTAGTGAGGCTCCCAGGACCCCATGGAAGAGACAAACGCTTCTCTGAATTTACCAAAACTCTTTCAAGAACCAATGGAACCTTCAAGACTTCCTGGACTCAAATGTTCTCAATCACTAGATCCCTGTAAAGAAATAGGTGGAGCACTGTGGCAGTCAGAGTGTCCTCCTCCTCGTCCCCTCAAACACAGAAGCCTCTTTATTGGACAACACAGAGCTAGTAAAAGGAGGCTTTATTTAGCCAAGGAGGCAGATGTCAGGAGAGCGAGTTAATATTCACAACATGAGATTTGAGAGGAGAGTCAAACACCGAGCAGCAGTTCATGGAGTCTGAGCAGAGACACTGAAGAGGAAGCGGCTCACCAGCAGCCAACTAACAAAATCAAGCTCCTGACGTAAGAATACACAAGTATACAGTCTGAAACACAGAAAATTTAAATCTGGAAATATCACGAGGGGCCTGATTCCTAGAAAAGTTCTCATATTTTACATCGTTTACGTTATGTATGTGAATTTGAACTAAATCACATATTTCATCTAAATACAATGAAAGTAATGATTTATCGACTATTGATTCGATGACAGAGAAGGAGATTTCACACTCTGGATAAATGTTTTGTACGGACCATTTACATGAATAGCTTAAGGTCAAAGGTCAGCAGTGAACAGCCACTCTGCAGCAGGCCACGGAGGGGGTTTGAAACCGCCCACACCGCCTTCGCACTAACACCAACCCGCTGCTGCTGCCTGGACTAGCACACACGCCGGAAAATGTACTTAAGAACAGTGAAAGAAATGTGTTGATGAGCTGACCTGCAGCTTCAAGGCCTGTGAGTATGTTTACATGCTAGTTTCTGTGTGTGTGTGTGTGTGAATGAAAGAGAGTTTAGCTCCACCTCAGGGGAGGAAAGCGGCGGTGGGGATTCAGCCGCCGAGTTATTATAGAACAGACGAGGAGAAAATAGATGTCCGAAGACGGGGGCTGAGAGCCGTCACGAGGTTGGTGAAAAAACAGCTGCTGCTTTCTCTGTCCAACACACACACACACACACACACACACGATGGAAAGGCGGTGCCAAGAAAAAGAGACGTCGGGGAAAACAGATCTCCCACGCACAACGGTGAACTTTGTGTGTGGGAGATCTGCATCCAACGTTTTGATGTGAACAATGATGTAATCAACGGAGTGGAAACGGCGTAAAGCTGTTAAACAAAAGAAAAGCTCCCCCCAAACTGGATGAAAATGTTTTAGTTCAGTTCAGTAAATGTACATTAAGTTAGCCAGAGGAGCTGCAAATAAAAGCATTTTAAAGCTCCATTCATCCAGTAGCTGCAGATTTTTTCCAGAGATCCTCGTGGATTTAGTTTGGAAGCGCAAACTGCTCGGAGCCGCCGGGGACATTTTCATTCCTATATGCGCGACGTGTCAGACAAAAAAGGTGTGAAACCACAGTCTGAGCACAAAGCTGTGAAACCAGTCCTCTCGCAGGGAATGCAGCCGGCGACGGAGCATAAACACATGAATGCTATCAGAGGGAAAGCAGAGCACGAGGGAACAAACACAGACTCTGAAGTTTAAAAACGTGAAGGTGATCTGCAGTGGAAAAGGTTTTTTTTTTCTGCCAATGAAGAGCCATTTGTCTCCCATGGTGATTTTAGTTATGCACATTTTTATATCTGTAAGCTGAACCAAACAGGCTATTTAAAGTTGTGATGTGTCCATTTAACGCCTTGCAAGAAATCTGCTCAGGCTTGTTGACTTGTCACTTTGCTCAGGGAAACAGCTAAATGTATTTGCATTTGTCCTTAGAGGGGAATTGATTAAATTATCATTGGCTGGAGCTGAACCAAACAAATTAACTAAAAAAAAAGAAAAATGATTGGCTTTAATAGAATTTGTGTAATTCACAACGGGCTGGTCAACAATGACGTCTGAAGGTCAACAACATGAGTTTGTTGCAGTTTTTAGTCTCACAAGAACATCTTGTCGCCGGGAAACATCGGAGGACGAGCGGTATCCTGTCCATCGTTTAATTGTGCTTTTCTAACAGGACGGCCACTGTAGATCGTCCAGCGTCCCGAGTGTGTGTTTATGCGTGTGCGTGAGTAAGTGTCTGTGTCAGATTCTGATCGCAGCAGTTAAAGCCAGCGGCTTTCGCAAAACCAACAAGGGAAGGCGAGAGCGGAGGTTTGGGCGAGAGGCTCACGCCATCAAAGTCAACCATCAGCGTGAGCTAATTGAAATTAAAGACCAGAAATGAGGAGGCGTGGACCGGAGGGGGACGGGAGGGGCAGAGAGGGAAAACCCAGCGAGGAGGACCGATGTTTCCTCATGGCTGCGGCCTGCGAGGATGAAAAATAAAATAAAAGAACAGTAAAGCCTTGAAGAACCTCCTCCAGGAGTTGGTCGGCCGGGTGATGGCTGCCGACCAACAGAAACTGGGCGTCTGCAGAGCAAACAATTCACAGTCCTGCCCTTTACTTATAAAGCACACCATCTTTCTTCTGAATAGTTTTCTTTCAGACTGGAAGCACCTGAAAATTACTTTTTAATGTTACTTTCAAAACATTAATCATTGGACTATTAATAAAGCCGTTGTATAGAGCCAGTACAACAACATTAAAGCAAAATAACTCTATAAACTTAATATCAACAAGCCATTATTTCTCCATGATAATGCACATTTAGTCACGTGCGTAGATCTAGACAACAACGCCTCGTGCCCACCTCTGAGATGAGCCCTAACCACGTTCTAATTCAGGGGAACACAGCATTTAGGTTTGTGAATAAAGGAAAAACGCCATTAAGTCGGTCAGACGGTCTAATCCACACGGGGAGGAGACCACTTTACTAGCGGCGAGCTGACAGGGGTCGAGGGGTCGGGATTCAGGTCAGAGGCCAACGTCACTTCAGAGGGATCACTGCACCGATCGGAGCGGAGGATTAGTGACAAAGCAAAAGTAAACCCCCCCCTCAACCAAGACGTCTGACGGTATCCACGCTGCGCTCGGATTGGTTTTTAGCGCTTTAGCGGATGAGCGTTAATCAAACCGCGTCTATGAGCATTTTGCTCACTTGTGCCTCATAAAAAAAAGATGTCTTGTTCGTGTTGGCTAAACAACAAAACTAGAGCCAAAAGCTGTAGTCATCTAGAAAGGAAATCTGTCAAGAATTGGCAACAACAAAATAATAAGTTATTTTGCTGCAGCAGTGAGCAAAACAATTAAATGGGGATCCAAACAATAATTATTTAATTATCGATCAATTAATCGCTAGATCACATGGTTTAAATTCCCATTATGTGGTCTTCAGATAGCTGGTTTCATGTAATCAACAGTCCAAAACCAAATAGATATTCAGCTCAGTTACAGATAACAGAAAAGTCATTAATCTTCTCACTGAAGAAGGTAAAAAAATAAATACACGTGACCTAAAATTAAATACCATCCCCTCAGATTTTCCACCCTGATATATGTCCAGATGTTGGATAAATTCAGTGCAGATGTTTTAAATGCAAGGAAATACCCGGTACTGGAAAAAATGTGTACATTACACGTTTGACTGAACAGAAGACATGAAAACATGGCTGGTTATTAGCTACAGTAAAGAAAACAATTATTAAGCCATTGTTTTGTAACGTTGTGACGGGAAAGCACTGTTGCACAATACAAAGATCAAACTTCATCGCTGTGGTCTGGTTAACCCTTCAGATTTTTTTTTTACCTCCCAACGTCCTCCACTAAAGGAGGGGGAACGTTTTCTAACCAACACATCGAACCGCTGTGGGGAGGCGGATCTGAATTATTCACTGGGTGTATTTAAAGCAGGGATCAATACTATTAAAGCTGGAGACTGTGAACATTGACGTTGCGTCGACCTTCAGCTGGAGTCCGGACAGAGGCGGAAGAGTCGCTTTTTGTTTGAAAGCAAAAATCGGGTAAAAAGACTTAACGAAGGGGGCGGGAGTTATTTTGCAAGGGTAAAAAAAAAAAATAGCAGTAGAATATAGTAGTTTTCTGTGGAAATGATGGTGGTAATCTGAATGCATTAGAGGTCGACATTCTGAAAATGTATGTACACCAAAAGCTAAATTGATTATTCAATGAAGTACTCGCAGATATAGTAAAATATAAGAGGATGATTCCATGCGGCACTACATCAATACACCCGGGCAGATACATTTCTAACCTTTCAAACTCATTTTTCCACATTGTACTGATAGTTAATCTCCTTTGACAGAAAAAGAATTCCCCCAAAGTTTGTGCCAGAAAACAAGCATCAACAGAGACACAAACGCATTAAACAAAGATTACTACCGTATCTGCTAAAGCCACCAGTGTCTTACAACAACCACTACAAGACCCGCCCCTCACATTCTACACGCAAACACATTTTACTGATTTCTGAGTGCAGGTTTAATCTCCAGCGTTAGTCCTTGTCTACCCTGAAGCTGCTTCACCTTCGCCACACATCCAGCAGAATGAAAACACACGGTGCAGGATATAAAATATCTCTGCAGGGATGGAGGGGGGAGGGGGAGGTGGCGAAGAATCGTCCCTCTGTGCGCTTAGTGCCCCATTTACTGCCTTTATTTATCTGCTATGCTGCAGCAAAGAGGGTGGACGTATGGAGGAGGAGGAGGAGGGTGGATTGCATGTTTTCCTCCCTGGCTCAGCCACTCTGTCTCCAGGACGCTGGGGGTGAGGGGGGGGGCAGACAGAGGAGAGCGCTGGAGATTTGAAACCTGATCTCCCTCCCCAC